CCCCCCCCCCCCCCCTCTTGCTCTTTCAGGTTTTTGTTGCAGTGAGAAACAGCTACCAGGGCCAGTAACCCGGCAATGCGGCAAAGCAGGCATTATTTCCACCGCCTTCCATTACTATGACAACACCCTTTGAGGTTTGAAGGCTATTGAGACTTTAAAGGAGACAGGCAATTTCATACCACCGGGGAAGTTCATTTATTTCTTGTATCCCAGTGTTATCTCCAGAGGGGGAAGAGGGGGAGACCAGCTAAAAGCCCCACTTGGACTTTTTTTAATCTATCATATTGAAAACAGAGCTGTGAAGTCATGTTCACACGGTCGGAGCATGACATCAATAAACTGAGATGAATCCAGTCGTACTGTGAGTCAATGGATAAATGACGAGAAGAGAATTAATTATTAAAAAGGCTCTATATAAACATTTCCTCCTGTCATCTTGTTAACAGAAAGAGTTGGAACAAAAGAGGCAGAGCGGACAGGAATCGTGTCTTTTACAGCTGACCTCCTGCAGGGAATATCCATATTCACATATACATATACATTCTACTTATGATTTGTTGAACTGTTCCTTTAAATATCAGTTGAGGTGAGATTGAGATACAGTACATTTTGTGTTTTTTACCTTCCTTAACATGTCTTCTTTCAGACTTGTGGAAAGAAAAGATCCCAAATACACATTCAGGTGTTTAAATTTACTACTTTGTCTATTTGCATCTTTAGATTTCTCCAAAATTCACCAAAAGTTAGTGCTCCATAATGCCTCATTGCCTATTTGAGCAGAAAATCTCAGAGAGCTTATCTATTGGTTATTTTTTTCACATGCAGCATCTTACAAAATGTAAAGGTTGTTTTCTGTAAATGAGTCTGAGCCAGAAATCTCCACTTCATTAACACTTATAGACACAAAATTCCAGACTTAAACAAAACACGTGTGCCTTAATGTAGGTAATCAAGTGGGGAAGTTCAGTGGCGAGTGGTTTAATTTTTTATTCACCAGGGAGTAGAAATTGGTTGAATTGTCGGTTGACGTGCAGACAGGGAAAGCAGTTAGATTGTCAGTTGAAGTGAGAGAGAATGAGAGCTACTGTATCCCCTGTGTACGTCTCTGGTTTGAACTTTGATAAACAGCATTATTACTGAGACTCGGAGCAAACAGAGTTGCAATAAATACGACTTTAAAACGCAAAAGGTCTTTGTTTATTGCCATTTCCACAAAACAGTTAAAGTATCAAAAGCTGTGAGGCTTCAGGGGAGTAGTCTGTCTTTGTGTACATTGATATACAGAATTGTATATGAAATCCCTCCTTCACAGCCTGCTTACACACAATGCAACCGTCTTCTTTATTTATTTTAGTTATGAAATAATGCAGAACCGTTATTCAGGCTGAGGTTCTGCATTATACATACTGGGCAAAGCAACTGAAGCATCTGTAGGCTGTTTCCCACAGCAGGCTGGAGCCCTAACCACACCAGACTACATACAACTGCCACCAATTATGAGTTCAGGCACTGGTTGAGAGGAAGGAGAAATGTGTATTCTCAGCCTGACATAAATACCACGTTGGTGCGCCAAGATGCTAAAAACATCCAATCCAAACTCTAATTTGAAGGGTAATGTGTACAAGGTTATTTGAATTATGCAAGGGCGTATGTTCAAGGGAGGGTAACATTAAAAAAAAAGAAACGGTCCCTTGATCTTGCTTGGGTGGGCCTCGCTTGCCGCCCTGCCTTTAAAATCACGAGTGTGCCTTTGCCTCTATAAAAAGCGCGGGCTTGCACTCTGTATACTTACTGAGGGTTAAGTATGGGATAGCAGCAGGAGCCCAAATGTGAATTAATGGGCTCACTGGAGTTCACCACCACAACTAACCAAGATGACGGACCTTTGAAATGTTTAAATCATATCATGTATTGCAGGTTTTAGGGCCAATCTGTGGATAGCTGAGAACAGGGAAACAGACATGATTTAAGACTGTAGTTCGTGTAGTGAGAAAGACCTGAGGCACATATTCCTGATTCTTTGGAAAACCTTTCCAAAGACATACAGAGGCCATGCTGGACTGCATGAATACAAAGCTCCAGAAAATTCCTCAGGATCAAACACTTTAAAGTGTGAGCGACAGAAGGCAGATGATGGCTTTATTTGTGCACCATGCTCAGAGACTGTTTTCTCAGAGTCCACATGTGTCTCAAAATCTGTCTGAGGTATCTGGCCTCTCTCTTGAAACAACCCCGAGGCTGAAGTCATAAACATATCTTGAGTTAGAGAAACATCACCTTCAGTGTGTGGTCATTAGTGTTAGAGAGACAGCCGAGTAAAAACACTGGAGGGAATACGCTGCGGATATACAGTACGCAGGTCCTGTTTCCTGGTATTACTATTACTACTATTTCTAGCCCCTCATGGTTCCAGCTGAGTGTGAAAGACAGGTATTTCTGTCAAATAGCTACATTTCATCCCTCTGTTAACAGTGAGCTTCCTGTCAAGTGGAGAACGATGAATGAGGATAAGGAGTATGAGAGGAAGAATAACTAGTGTCTCAAGGAGGATGCTTATGAGGAAATAGGAGGGAAGCAATGATGACGAAGCAACTTACAGGAAGTGAATAGATTATCAAGAACAAATTGGTATAGTAGCCCTGAAATACGTAAATGTTTATTTTGTGAAGACTATATTCTCTGTTGGGTTGGCATTCATGGTGCATTCTTGAGCCCATAATTTGTTGTGTCGTAGTAGTTGATTGTATTATATTGTAAGATATTCTTGTTATTTTGTCCACTCTGAGGCTGCTACACTCAGTGTACATTTAGCATTGATGAATGAAATGACAACAGCTTTCCTAAGGTTAAAAAATGTGGGAAAACTACTTTCCAAGTCTACTTTCAAACAGTGTATGACGTGATGGCGAAGCTCTTCTGTTGATGGAGTATACTCACTGATGTAGAAGGTGCCTGGTGCCTGGTGGCCTTCAAACTGGAGTATGAGGAGGTTGCTGGTTTGACTGTCATGGCGGAGCCACAGGGCCACTCCTAAGATCACACCTCCGGCCAGCTGTCCCCCGAGAGAAAATGGTTTTCATTATTATCTTTCATTTTTCTTTACTTTGGTGAAACTTCTGGGAGGATCAGAGCCTTTTAAAATGTTCAACATTCAAGAGAGATGTTACCATGAATATTAAAACATCCTATCATTTAAGACTTTTTTTTCTTTAATAAAGGCCCATCAAGAGAGAGTTCACAAAGCCTGACTCTCCAAAGATCAAATCAGTTTCAAAACCTTTCGGCTAATGTTTCTCTGTGTGTTTAGCTCTGCCGTGAGGCTGTGAACTGTCCACTGTCCTTTCAGAGAAGTAATGAAAGGACATCCTGACAGCTCAGTGACCTACGGCACAGACCACGTCCTCCCTACATTGTTTAAAAGCCAACTCAAGAACTTTGTTATTCAACTTTATCTCCCTTAACCTCTCCTCTATTCTGTGTATCCTGATAAAAGTGTTATCATGTGAAAGCTGATGGAGCGTAAACTATACTAATGGATCAGTGCAATTTATTGTTCACATGCTGACGCTCTTTTTCTTTATGCCACTGTTTATTTCAAGATATCTGCACATTTAGTGCCAGGACTGCACTCTATTGTTCTCCAAGAAACAGGAAACTAAATCCTCTACATGGAAAATAGCAAAACGAGGAAGAGAGGACTTTACAATGACAAAATCAACACAGGAAACACTCCATCAAGTGCGACGTGTCCAGGATGTGCTGGCTTTTCTAAAAAAAGATGACTGTTATGTTGAGACAAACTCAAATGGAAATTCCCAAACAAGCAGTGACCAATTCTGACTGTGCAAGGCCAACAGTGAACAAATTAAGTGGACGGCACATCTGCAGGAAGTCTGACGTGATGTACGAAAGTGTAAAATGTAAACAGCACGGTGGCTCTTATTACTGAAACAACTTTTCAGAAAACAAGGGTGAATGTACAATAAATGAGGTGTTTCCTGAGCTCCTCAGAGGTTCAAAGGCAGCAAATGCTACAGTCTGGTGACCAGGTAGGAACAAAGGAAATGTAAAAGGGAAAACAGCTCTCCCCTCCCCCAGAACGCCCATTACCCCTGTTCAGTATATACCTCGTTATGTGTGTTTAATCTGGGGGGAACCAGACTCCTTAAAATAATAAGAAACCATCCAATAATTACAGAAATTTGGTTCACTTTTCCACCAGACACAACTTCAGAAATCAGACCTTCCAGTCTGGAGTAGTACTTGAATATTATGAACAGGAGTTGAATCAATTAAATTATTGATCTAAAACAGCGGAAATGTGAGAGAAAAACTGTATTAACCTCTGTGAGAGGACTGAAGGCCATGTGTGAAGTGCTCCTCACAGCCATGCAGAAAGTAGCTGTTGATGAAGAGCATTTCAACTCCTGCCTGGACAAGGTTTAGTGTGCTCTGCCTCTTCTACTGATGCTGCTCTCCTCTCAAAGACACAGCAGCATAATGAATAGTCCACAGCAGGGCGGGAAACTCTGTCCAGGAATCTATTAACTTTAAACCTTGAGCTACACAGACGTGTGGCCTAAACGTGCAGCCGCTTAATCAATCAACAAGAAGAGGAAAAACCAGTTGTTTTTAAAAGCAGAAGTTAATCAAACATAAGAGGCGCAAAGTAAAAATCAACTTCAGAGTAAAATATGTTCAACTCACCCAGAAAATAAAATTAAAGAAAAATAACATATATTTTATGCATTTTGTGCAGCCCGCCACAACCATGTTGCCAGTTTTTTTATCAGCTTGTCCTTTTGCCCAAATCAAAAACTAGTGAGGTCAGCCTACTGTCCCGGTTCACACAGCCAGAGTTTATTCAGGCCAGTTGGAGTATAAGCGCCTCGATGCTGCAAACTCCTCCTTTATAATCAAGAGTGAAAACCGAGACGGAGAACTGCCCACCACGTGAAGCGGACAGGAGGAGGAGAAGGCTGAGGAAACAACAAGCTCCCCATCCGCAGGAGCGAACATAAAGAGCACTATTTGTTCCTCTGCCAGTTTAAAAATGGGTTATGGTCAGATGAAGTGGAGGACAGAAATCCTCGTTTCTTTCCTGAGGACAAGAAGTAGAAAGACAGAAAGGAAGGAAGTAGACCTACAATTTCCAATCTTTTAATAATAAAACCATGTTTTAAAAGTAAATCTCCATCAAAGACATCATCGCAAAAGCATGTGTGTGAAATTGTTTAATTTGTTGTAATTCAGCAATGAGGAAATGCGTATAATAAACTATATGTCAATGATAAGAAATCCTTAATGCGCACCACAAACAAACGTCAAAAGTCATTGTTTTCACATGCCTATTTTTAATCTGTTGACAAGCATTTAAAATATTGCGATAATTAACAGACATAAATAAAGGGGACAAAAAAAATTGCACTTCTTTGCAGTGAGCAATGACGCCCCCTGGTGGCACACAAACACAGGTGGGGGGGCTAATTATAATACAGATTAAGAGCAGCACATAAGAGTTGCGCAAACAAACAAAACATTCTCAACTCTTTGTTTCAAAATATCCCCACAGTCAGTGCAGAGACAAAGGCTACACGTGCAGACTGTTCACAACTAACTGACCCTCACATCCGTAAATCACTGAGCTATGAGAAGGCACACGATCAGACTCGTTGATGGTATGGGCGGATGTGCGCGTGCATGGCTCCAGGGTCACACCTTCTATAACCAGCTGTGCATGAAGACGATAAGTCCCCCCCCCCCCCCCCTGACAGTCACAGCCGCTGACCAATAACCCTCCGAGTGACGACGGTAAGCGAGAAAAATTGGGCAGCGATGACAATTTCAACGGTTTTAAATTGCAGAACTTGACAGCGTGTTCTAACAAATGCAGAGTCCACTGGGCATGCTCCATCTGATCTGAGAGGAGAGCTGGTCACGGTGTGAATAACAGGCAGTTTGGGCGTTTTTTGGGGGAGGGTTTGACGCCTTCTCATCTCCGATTCTCTTGGTTTTGTTCAACCACGCAGCAGAGACAACAGTATTTCCCCTCCCTTTCAAATAGACCGGGTGTTTTCTACCCAGCGACGCGTGAAGGCGAGGTAAAGTTCCTGAGCAGGAGAGCATCTCTGTGCGGAGACAAAGAGCCGCCGTGTGTCGTTAGGCGCAGAAGAGGGAGCGGGCTGAGCGTCGGTGTGAAGGAGGTGAGTCTGTAGGCAGACTGGAAGCAGCGCCGAGCCTCCATCAGGAGCTGGCGGACAGGCGCTGTCCGCTCAGCACCACCGCAGTCACCTTGCTGTGAAAGTCACAAACCTGCTCAGGATCAATCGGATTAATTACCGCAACTTGGGGAGTCCAATGAGCCGGACTTGTTGTCTGCCGGCGGGAGGGGGAATTTGTCAGCGTTTGTCCCTTTTATCTCGACATCTTGGATTTACAGACGATATGACGTCCATTCTTAATGTGATGCCATTGGCTGCAATCATTTTGGATTTCGATTTTTATACCCTCCAGTGAGTGTGGCAGCTTTAAACGTTTACGATCCTCCAGTTGCATGACAGGTGCTTGTCGACCCCCCCCTCCAGCGCTTAGAGTGAGTGTAGCCTGATGCGCGTGGAGCACATTACTTTCATAGTTTTGTGAGAAACGACAGGTTGTTCCGCGCGCTACTTTCTTTATGTAATTGTTCTCCTCGCTGTAATCACTGCTGTGCGTGGTTGCACGGGGACGCCTTAGACTTAAACTTTGCGATGAAGGGAACTTATTGGAGAAATGCCTAAGGGACGCAATGGGCCTGAGCGACGACAAGGATCGCATTGTGATAAACGTGGGAGGGATCAGACATCAGACATACCGCAGCACCCTGCGCACTCTACCTGGCACTCGGCTGTCCTGGTTGGCCGAGCCTGATGCACCCAATCACTTTGACTATGACGCCAAGATCGAGGAATTTTTCTTCGACCGCCACCCTGGCGTGTTTGCACATATCCTTAACTACTACAGGACAGGTAAACTGCACTGCCCGGCCGATGTCTGCGGGCCTCTCTACGAGGAGGAACTGGCCTTCTGGGGCATCGATGAGACAGACGTGGAGCCATGCTGCTGGATGACCTATCGCCAGCACCGGGAGGCAGAGGAGGCCCTTGATAGTTTCGGCGGGGGGGGCTTGTTAGACCTGGGGAACGAAGATGCGGAGCCCGAGCAGGAGCATGCCGGCGAGGATGATGTGGATGAGATGACGAGGAGGCTGGCGCAGGGAGACACTCATGATGCCAGGAGTGGAAGCTCGTGGAGCCGGTGGCAGAAACATGTTTGGGCTCTGTTTGACGACCCGTACTCCTCTAAATATGCAAGGGTAAGTTGCCTTTAACTCTTAATATGCTTGCCATGGTTTCGTTCTTCTTATTGAACTTAAGATCTGAGGCCAGAGTTATCACGGTCACATTCTGAGCTGTAAAACACACCAACGTGTTTATCTTCTGGTATGAAACAGTCAAAGTTGCATGAACAAGAGTTTAGTTTTGCATGCTTGATGGTGTAACAAATGATTGATGGCTCTTGGAAGGTAAAGGAGCTTTTGATGACCTTCAAATTGCCCTCCCATGGGTCGCCACAGCAGGGATGTGACTGTACAGATAAGAAGTGGCGGAATCGTTTACATGCAAATGATCACTCCCACCCTGCTCCATCTCGCAGGAGAAGATAAAGGGTGGTTGTGACTCTCACCGGTCTCTGGATTGATATTTCCAGGACACAAGGATCCCCGAGCAGCCTGGCTCTTTGGTTTAATAGGTCAGATACACGTTAGGAAACCAGATCTTTGGCACCACCAGGATTTCAGTGGCAGACCTCCAGACAAGAATTGGGTTGCTGTTCGAGGTGACACTTTTTGTTGTGGGCATTTTTCCATCTGGGCGTTATGCCTTTTGATGGTGACAATGAAATGACTTTACACCTTCAGATTTGTTTTGTTGTTTTGTTTTACCACAGCCCCCTAGAAAGACCGCTGTGCAGCCCGCTGGTTTAACAGCTGCAGCACTGATTGGTGTAATTAGTTACCAGGCCCCATCCAGCAAGTGTAAACTGTATTGACATGTTCTTGCTCTTACAGCAAGCATCAGCGGAAGTGGTTTTACCAAACACACACACACCCACACACACCCACACACACCCACACACACCCACACCCACACACACACACACACACACACACACACACAGTCTCCTTTCAAATTCCACCCTCTGCATGCAGGGGCATTTCCCAAAGCGGAAAACGACGAGGATGTGTCCCACATTTAAGATTGAGAAAGACAAAGCAGGGAGCGAAGATTGACAGAGCTCCACTAAAAACGGCAAGAAGATTAATTAGAAGTGAGCCTCAAAATTAATTACAGTCTCTATTCACAGTGGATACATCAGTGGAAAACTATTGTCGCTGCATATCACTGTAGGCCTGTGATTTGCCAGTAACAGTGAGAATTGGCCAACACAAGGAGCAAACAATCTCCGCCTGTCACCCTCCCTCCAAGCCACGCTGTTCCCAACTGTCACAAAGACACATCATTTACTGTAAGAGGAGTTCTAATAAGATGCAGCGTTTGTTTAACAGTCTGCAGGGTGGGATGTTCAGAGGTCCGAGCAAGCCAGTGCATCAGGAGGCATGAACGTGGCTTATAAGAATGAGGCTTTATCACACTGAAGTGTGCTGGCAGTAATGGGAATGTTTTATTCCCCAACTCCATTTGATAACTGATGGCTGGACAAAATAACAAGCGCACCTGTCAGTTAGGATTATTTTAATCAGACACATATACTGTATGACTATTATTTTCTCAATTAATTGAATAATGAAATATTGAAACATGCCCATCACAACTTTCTTCAACCAATGTTGACGTGAGAAAAGAAAGGAAAGCAAACATCTTCAGTTTAGGAGGTAGAGACAGTTCATTTTGATACGTTTTTGCTCAAAATAAATTACCTTAAAGATAACTAGATTATCAAAATTGTTGAAGATACATTTTCTGTTCAACTATTCAATTGACTACTTGTTTTAAATACAGTGTCAAAAAATCTAAAACACCTGTTCTTACTGCATCTGTGAAGTATTGACAGTTACTCACTAGGATGCCCCCACAGTTTGAGGTAATTGGTTAAATTTATTCAGGAGTATGTATACCATGTACAGTCAAGACTCTCAAACAAATCTGCAATTAATTGAATAAGCACAAAGCAGCTGACAGTAAATCTGTGGCTCTTCGGGCTCCTGATGGGAAGTTGCCCGCTTTGCCCAGTTGGTAATCAAGCCTTTGCTGTTGATTCCAATCTATTATTTTTTGAGGTCGTATTTTCAGTGTGGTTGACTTGTATTATATTCTTGGGAGTTGTTTGCACAGTGCATACTGTAGTGGGGGTGGACAAAACAATATTATGCAATCCAATACAAAACCACATACTATTGCCTTAAAAACTCACACACAATCTCTTTACCAACAAACGCTGTACACTACTAGCTTGACAACGGCTCATTTCTAAGTCATTTTGTATCTGATTGCATTAAAATGTACGCGTTGAATTTAAAGAGTTTAAAAACTTACAGAGCAATTCACATGCCATACTGTAAATGGCAAGTCGTCTCCATCTTCATTAAAACTGGTGTGTGTCTTCTTTGCTCAGCGTGAGCCGTCTCGCTGAACAAAGAGGACAGCCTGCTGACTGAACAGCAGTCAGCAGGCTGTTGTCTCTGCTAACACGCAGTTTCCCTCCGGACCGTCGTACTAACATGGATGGAAAGCAGACATTCATGTGATTTCCTCAGCACAATGCGATGAATTGCTAGTGATGAGATGTTATGATGAGGGCCTGTTTTCCATCTCGTGCTGCGTGCCTGCCCTAGAGACACACAGCGAATGGAACCGATTAAGAGGCTGTCTGTTCTTTGTTCAGCGGACTATATATATGTAAGACGTCCTCATACCCAGACACGTCCACCTCCAACTAACCTCCTCCCTGAAGCTGTTCACTACTCCTCCCAGCTACTTAATAAGGCTGCGCATTAGTCTATGCAGCACTGACGAGCCTCACTTACTCTTATAACGACGTCTTCATGCACGAACACACTGCTATTGATCCAATTGTTTGTGATTCATAGGATGATTAAGTATATCTGCTCTTCCTGTCTGAATCTTTGTCCAGAAATTCTGATCTATTGACCTCCGACTCCCATGAAGATAAAGCAGTTTTTTGTCCATTTCAACTACAGCGAACACATACTGTAAACCAGTACAGGATGATCAGAGCAGGCTGACACGAGGACAGGGCTGCAATCAATACCCAGGAGAGAATACTGTATCAGTTACGCCCATGTAGTATGCATTAGACACAGCTTAAATGTGATGAAATTTGATCATCTAATCAATACATAATAAAGGCTAAAGTACACTATTGCCATTAAGGGAAATATAGGTTTCTTCTACATGTGTGCTGGGTGTTGAGTTTGATTATATTGCATGAATGACTGTGCTCCTCTCTGTCCTTCTTCCCTCTTCCTTCTCTCTCCGTTTCCTTCTGCACCCTATATGTACTCCCCGCTCAGTGGGTGGCTCTGGCCTCGCTGTTCTTTATTCTGGTGTCCATCACCACTTTCTGTCTGGAGACCCACGAGGCCTTCAACCCGATCATCAACCGCACCGAGGTGGAGGTGGTGAACAACGTCACAGTGGTGCACACCTACCAGGAGACCGAGACTGCACTCTACCTCACCTACATCGAGGGCGTTTGTGTGGTGTGGTTCACTTTTGAATTTCTAATGCGAATAACTTTCTGCCCGAATAAATGTGACTTCATTCGGAACGCCCTGAACATCATCGACTTTGTGGCCATCCTGCCCTTCTACCTTGAGGTCGGCCTCAGCGCGCTCTCCTCCAAGGCGGCCAAGGACGTGCTGGGTTTCCTGCGAGTTGTCCGCTTCGTGCGGATCCTGCGTATCTTCAAGCTGACCCGTCACTTTGTGGGGCTGAGGGTGCTGGGCCACACGTTGAGGGCCAGCACCAACGAGTTCCTGCTCCTCATCATCTTCCTCGCCCTCGGTGTCCTCATCTTTGCTACTATGATCTACTACGCTGAAAGGATTGGAGCTAACCCCAACGACCCTCGAGCCAGTGAGCACACACAATTCAAGAACATCCCGATCGGATTCTGGTGGGCTGTGGTGACCATGACCACCCTCGGCTACGGAGACATGTACCCTAAGACGACCTCCGGTATGCTGGTCGGAGCCCTGTGCGCCCTGGCAGGTGTGCTGACCATCGCCATGCCCGTCCCTGTGATTGTCAACAACTTTGGAATGTATTACTCTCTGGCTATGGCAAAACAGAAACTACCAAAGAAAAAGAATAGGTATATCCCGCGGGCACCCCAACCAGGTTCTCCAAACTTCTGTAAGTCAAGCATCAGCTCCCAACAGCCGAGCCCCATACCCCATGACGACGTTTTCGAGATAAAGTTTCAAGGTAAGAAACAAAGCTGATATACTGTTGTCTCATCACTTCTCTGTCCTCCCTGAAGCAGCCACATCACTATTCAGCTATTCCATTGTTTGTCTGTTCCCACACTTCAATCAGCTGATGATTCAGGCACGAGATTAAACAAATTAGTTTCACACCGAAAACAATCAATAAAATATGTGATGAAAAGCATGTTTTACTCTGGCTAGGAGAACAGAGAGATTGAGGCAGACCGTGAGTAATCTCACTTATGAGTTTGCACTTCTTAATGCAGTGACTCACTCCTCTCTCTTAAGACTAATTGAGAGTGTAATCACCATGTATTTGTAATGTTAACAACATGTAAGTAGATGTGGAAGTCACTCGATTTCCTCTTGAATTCCTCTGGTGGTATTAGTGCAAAGACAAAATTACCTCGAATACAGCTTGTGCTCAAGAAGACGTAGAACTGACGAGTGCAAGGCTAGCATTAGACAGCAGGAAATTGTACACTTTATTCCATATGTGCATTTAGAGAGTAGAATGTGAAAACTGAAGGTATATTCAAAAATGGAATGTCTATTTAAACCCAGATGACAATAGTCACTCAGCAGCTATTCAGCTATTTACACCCGGCCAAGTTGAACATGCTACTTAATTTAACAATAATTAGCTAGCCGAAAGGCGAAAGATTTAGAAGTATAAAGAGTGATAAAGCATGTTTAGGGAGTGGGTGGTAATGGATGAATACGTCAAACTCAGGAGACCACTGGTCAAAGAGTGGGACAAGACTATATCATAGTTGACTAATTATTTAGTTTTCTTTTAATTTTATTTATAGTTTCCATTTGCAGTTTAGTTAAATTTAGGCCACAAAACTACTTGGTTACGTTTAGTAAAAACATGCATAGCCTACAGTAGGCTACATATACACATACAGTATCAAATGTGTGCCTGGGTCGGCTGCAAATAGCATTGTTGGCTACAGATATCTGAGTTCTAACAGCATCAGTCATTTAAAAGTGCGGAAGTTAAATTCTATAAAATGCTGGTATATTTAACAAGATTCTTTCTTAATTGTTTTCTTAAAAGATTCCAAGTTGAACGGTGAGGCAGCTAACGCAGCGCTGGCCAACGAAGATTGCCCTCATATAGACCAGGCCATATCTCCGGAGGAAAGCTTCAGCCCAAGCGAGAGAGAGCGACCCTGCTTCCTGGTCACCACTTCTGAACGCCCCAACCACACAGGGGGCAGAGTGAGGAGGGGTACGTACAGTAACAGCCAATCACAGGCCCCTAAGACACTGACACCCTGTAGACCGTAGACAGGACACGCTCTTTTTTTCCCTCTTTGCTGAGTGTTACGTCTCAGTTTTCACAGGCACACACACACACGCACACACGCACACACACACACACACACACACACACACACACACACACACACAAACAACAACAAACCTCTAATTACACACTCTCACAGCAGCTGCTTCTCCTCATTCCTCCCTTTGGGAATTGTATATATATTGTATATATACCAAGTCACACTAACATCTGTTAAGGCCAAGCACAATCACCACAATGTCAATAATAATTATCCACATCTACATAATATATTTTTTGATACCATGCATAATGTAATACCCCTATTTATTTACGAGCAAGAAAGTCATTTTCAAGATTTATACGATCTAGAATGTGTTGTCTTACATGCCTAAGAAAGTACTTATGTGCTCTCTGTGTACCATGTATGTATATGTGTTTTAATGATAAATATCATGCAGGATTCTGACTTACGAGTAGTACATTGCCCTTGACCATAACGGTGCATGAAGTGTCTTGCTGGTGGGTGCTATCAGTATGGTGAAGGAGCACTACACAAACGGAGGAAGGCTAATGTCAAATATTGCTATTGGTGTTATTCAGAGCCAAATTCTAATTCACAGATTTTTACACTTTACTACCAGGGTTAAACACTTTGTGTTTGTTTTATTCATTTAGTATTAATCTACAAAACATTTCTCTGAGAAAGTCGCGTTAGTCTGTGATCAAGCCAGCATATCAACAGTACATGGCGTACAGTTTGAAGTTCTACCTGTAGCTGAGAATACATTCCCGACCTGAGGTGCCTACCTTTTCCAGTCTTTTGTAGTGTTATACTCCAAACCATTCCAGTACCACCCGGTGCATGCTGTTCTACTCCTGATGCACTCAATGCATGGAGAAAAATAATCTGTCTCGAGTCTGTGTTGACCTGTTTCTTTGGTGACAAAAACAAGAAAGCAACAGGTGTAGTATTACCAGTGAGGAACAACCAAACCATTTGTAATGGATTCAGTGCTGCAGTGTACTCAGAACGTTCTCTGTTTTTCAACTGAAGGTTATGAAAAGCCTTGGAGCCTTAACAGCATGTCTGGCATGAGCGGGGATGCCTCTGGAGTGTCCTCAGTGTCCGCCCTACCCTGCAGCCCACCTTGTCTAATGCAGCACTCACATTCTCCCATCCCATCCATTATGTAGCATGGTTGAGTAGCAGACACAATGCCATTGGAAGGCCAGTCCACACGTACCTGTCAAATTTTGCTTTTACACTTGCCTTCACTCTTGCTTTTTTTCATTTTGATTTCATTTTTTTTCTGGAAAAACTGTATCTTAACTGTGTCTAATACTCAAGCTTTCCCAAGTGTTCTCCTTGGGTGTGTCATCATATGCTAGACTAGAAAAACATTGGCACATGCCACTCTGCATGGGTCACCTCAGTTGCAGACAAAGCACTGTTCTACTTCTAGCACAGGCTAACCCCACTCTTTCCCTGTGTTTACATCATTGCCTGTTGCTCTGTTGCTTTTGATCTCACATACTCTTCTGCCAATAACGTTTATCTCATCTGCTTTTTACAATTTTGTGAAAGAAACTTTCATAAGATGTAAACCCTGCAAATAATATGCTGGACATTAACACTACAAGGCTCTGAAACATATCCAAAAGGTACCATTGCCAGCTGTTAAGGAAAGTCCACTTAAGTGCTTTGTACGTTGCAAAGTAGAGACGTTATTCTGAAAGTGCAATCCAGATGAGGCTCAATGTTATCTGAGAGACCATTAGAAAAAAAAAATGAACACGATGTTCATGATGTCCAATGCAATATGGAGATGATGACAACTTCTATGATACTAGTGATGAATACATTTAATGTCAACAGAACTAAAACTGTTTTGTTCATTTGCATGAACTGCATGAAAAATTATGTTCAACAAGAAGCTAACTGTATCACGGTACCTGTAAGAAAAAAAAGAAGCTTTCTAAAGCGTTGTCATTTTGAGACAGCTTTACAAGAGACTCAGTCATAGCAGAGATGTTTATGTAGCCGCCATTCTTTGCCTTTCCCCAAATTCATAGATTTATTTTCTTGTATTTATTTGACTGGAGATGCCTCCAACTAAAAGAGTGTGATTTGACTTGAACAATTTGTAATAAAGCCAACTAATGCTGTTATGAGCATAAATAGTTTTTATACAAATATATTTAATGGTAGTTATTAGTTTTTAAACAGTATCTGTAGTCTGCAGCAACTTCTAGAACTGCTGTGATGCTTAAATTAAGGCAAGACTCAAGAATTATAAAACAATGGTGCCTTCATACCTGGTGAGGCAAAGTAAAAGAGAGTAATAAATTGACAAGACGTAGTCAGTGTTACCAGTGTAGCATCAGTACACTTTACCATGCTCATAACAGTGTAACGAAAGCTTTATTTTATAAGGTGCACCTTGTACCTTTTGTACCACACTCGTACCCTAAATTGGTTATTATTGTTACACCATCAAACACACACTAGTATTTAACCCTTATGGGAATACACAGCTCCAAGAAGGAACACAATAACAGCTGAAAACACTGACTTTATAGTCCCCATCTTAAGAATTGTTTTTGTATGATAAAGCACAAATAATTAACGGGGACCAGGCAACTCTACGGAGCCGAAATATATCCAGAGATGTCACGATGACTTCAGCAGTACGTCCGTCTATAGATTTAAAACATCAATACCGTTACTGTTACGTGTATTGATGCTGTGCCAATAATTATGCACAGTTCTTCAGGGCACTTTAACAAATTTGGTGTTGACCAATCAGAAATGTTAATTTCTAGAAGAAGATATAGCAACTCATCTAACTTTTGTTTTTATTCTGAATGAGCAGAGTTTCACATTTCAAGTCATGTCTATTGTGGTAATTAATGGACGTTATATATTTAAGAAAAAAAAAACTTGTGAAGATTTGATGTGAACAGATGCAGGTGAATAAGTGAAAAAAAAAATACAAAGTACAACACGACACAGGGATGTGGGTCTACTTGGGGAAAGGTAAATGCATGTATTTTCCATTTATGCAACAGAAAAGTATTCAAATAAAAATATGTAAATATAAGTCCTTGCATGAAATAAATTTTATACACAATGAGCATTTAGACTCCGTTTTTCTTCAACAGCACATGCATACATACATCTTTCCTTTCCTTCTAGCTTACAGCTAGTGCTTTGAGCTGCTGTTTGACCCTTTACCTGTGTCCGGGTCAAAGAGAGCATAAAAAACCCCCAAAAAAACCCTAAGTGACTGCAAGAGCATGACGCAAATGATACAAACGCATGACAATGACCGAACTACTGTACATCAACCTGTACAACGAAGCATGACTGGGCATGTTTATTAACCGACTCAGAGTGTAACCTCAGACCGAACCTCGTTGTCTGATGCCTTGGCTACGCATGGGAAATACATGGTAAACCTGTTGTTTACCATGAGGAACTAACGGAGCACATTTTCTTTACTCTCCAAGCTAGTGTCATGTCTCACCTCTCGCAGGTATCCATTATCGCCATCATTTCCACCATTATACATAATTTGTGTAATAATTTGCTTTTGTTATTGTTTTTTTATATGTTTATAGAGACCCAGCGACAGCACCGGAGCAGACAACCAACAGAGTCAGTTTGTGTTATGAACCATGGTGTCCCAACCACTATGTGTATGACCCATAACGGCCCATCACCCACCTGATAGTGCAGTAGCATTGTTGTGTGTATTACTTAGTCTTTTTAAATGGGTGTGACAGTGACAACCTGTACATCACAAAAGTCAGCATAGATGTAGCACTGAGGAAGTTTTGTTGTCAAGCCTTATGTAGCTCAGTATCTGTCAACGGTTACCGTGTTGTAATTTGTCTGCCTATTTTTGGTTTGTGCCAGTGCTGTAAATATGCTTTTTATGTGTGCCGAAGTTGTGTGTACCAATGTTTTTGAGTGCTCATCAAATATCTGTGTGCTTCTTCTGTTGAAAGAAAAAAAAAAAAAAAAAAAAAAAAAAAAAATATTGCTCCAATTTTAAATCACCCAGCAAAAAAAACTGTCACTTGTCACATCAGCCAGACTTAACAGTTGAAAACAAATCGTGAACTTTGCACCGTCATCGTCACATTTTTGTAGACTTTTGCACTGTTTTGCACCAGTGAATTTTTCACATTCCTTTGATATGTTTTCAGGCATCAAAGAGATAACACCCACAAAAAACTAAAAGACTGAATAAGGTCACACTTACCATTCTTACCTTGAAATAATGAGGCATTAAACTGGCAGGTGTGCTGTTAAGAATGTGTAACTAATTGTTTACTTAATCAAATCTTATATAGGGTTATTCAGAAAGGAATAATATTCAACATTCATTGAATGTTGATATGTCTTCAAAGCTCCATTTTGATTGACAAAGACAGCTTAGATCTAAGATACATTTACTCATATCACAGCTCAGACATTCATAATTACTCTGCAGTACATTTTAATAGACAATAATGTAGAATTGGGTTGTTTTTCAGCACACATGCAAATTGGCATTAAGCAGTAGTATGCAATACTAACTAATGCCAAAACATTACACACATACTGGACAAGTGCCTCTGTTATGCAAATTATTCTTACCATTCAGGAGTATAGCTTCACCAACATGATGAATTAATGTACATTTCATTTGACATTAGTCACATCAGTCACCAGCCATTGAAAGCATCAGTTCAGTACTCAAAAAGCACAAAGATACAATCAGGACACCCACAAGGATCAGCTTCTAAACCAGAGCAATGAGCATACCTAATTAAAAACACGAAGGACAGCCATTGAGTACATAGTACAGCTTAAATGTTTGTGTAGAAGAGTTAGTGAAAGGGGACCAACTTGTTACCAAACAACTGCAAACACACTGCCAACAACCTTCTGAGATCTGTGTGAAGTCAGGTACAGCAGACTTGAATCTGCCATTAGAGCGGAGCACAAACGGGGGACAGTGTGCTGGTCATTGTCAGACAGAATAAATAACAACAGCCTCTGTTATTAAAGGGAATCAATAACACAACTAAGAAGCAACTAATGTGCCCTTTGGTGAGACTTGAGACCGTGCGTTTTGTGGTTGGTTGTCTCAGTAAGGTGTTCAGTGATCGTTTTGATTGGTTTGTTGTGTCTTTTTTGACCGATACAGTTCAGGCTTGTATAATAAATAGTGATAAATAAATAAAAACCAAAACACAGAAATTATCATTTTTCAAAGTGTTGATGTATTTTTTCAAAGTAATCCAGGTATATATATATATATATATATATAATTTGCATAAATCATAAGGATAAAATAAAAACTTTTAAATAAAAAAAAAAAAGTGAATAAATTGCATCAATGAGCCATTCTGATTTCTGCCATTGCCTTTGACCACAGCCCCGGCTTCAGACCTGCAGTTTGGTCCCCGGGTGCTGCACTGCGGTCGCCCACAGATTATGAATATGTATGTTGGGTCAAATGCAGCGGACAAACTTCCCCCAAGATGGATTAAGTAGTATACAGTATGAAAGTGGTGCCAATGAGACAAAGAATATGACAGACTGCCAAGAACATCAAGGAGTGATAAACGGTAGCCAAAGAAACATTTACTGTACTGAATGTGTAAGCGTGTAAATCATGAGGTGACCGAGAGATATTAGTATGAAGTGCAGAGATTGACTGCTTTCTGACACTCGAGATCACAGCAATAAAACTGCTGACACGGCAAGATGGAGCGATAGCAACAGTCTAGCCCATTCCTCACGTTATCCATGACGGCTTCCTTCTGGAAGACAAGAATGGACCAGGAGCTATAGGCGTGGCCCTGTCCTGCAGAGCCATCGGCCCCAATCACGTTCATCAAAGTAACAGGCTGGTCAGAGAAATGATGGCCTCCGTCCACATGAAACATAACTCGGTCTGTGTCCGACCGACCACACCGCAGTATTTATGACAACTGCAGTTTGAAACCTGATCTTTAGTAGCCTAGTAGCCTATTAGAAGGTGAAAGTTACAGTGTAAGGCAGTTAGAATGATCATATGTGGGCTTTGCAGAGCACCAATAAGCCGCTGAATCAGTCAGAAGTTTGTTAATTCACAAAGCCATTCTGTTTTTCTTAAATGTCCCTGCTCCGAGGTTAGTGAGGCGGAGTCGTCGCAGGGTTTTGTCTTAAGTCAGTCGTCGCAGCGCACGTTGCCATAGAGTGTCCAGCTCCGCAGCCAATGAGAAGAGGTCTGAGACCAGAAACGAGCTGTGGCTGACAGACGTCGCTCTGTGAACCGTCTCCACACATCCCGTGTTCGTTCCAGCCCCAGGAGAGGAGACAGCCGCCTGAAAAGGAGAGGGGTCATAGGTCAGTGGAGCCGACAGGAGAGAGGGACGGGGCTGCAGCACTCGACCATGTACGCTGAAATTAGTAGCCTGAAGAAAAAAGGCTGGGTACAAAAAACAGAAGGCATGTGTGTCACTCACTCACACTCACACACACACACACACACTCTCCCTCTCTCTCTGTCCCCAAACACTGCCACTCAGCCAGCAGTAAAGCCTTCACAGCTGGTGAGCTTGTTAGTGGGTGTGGTCAGGTCTGCATCACCGGGGACACAAGTGCCATGGCAACACAGTTACCTAATAGGCTCCACTGCCATGGCAACAGAAGCGAGCTTGCCTTCTCAAGGGTAACACATCTTCCAGCGTTCCCCGTCCTGCAATTGTGTGTGTCTTTCATGCCACCTTTTCATTTCGTTTCATCGGGGGGGGGGGGGGGTTTCTTTTGTCTTTCTGCCTTTTCAGCTCGGCCCTGAAAAAAACCCGGTGGCGCTGAAGATTTGGATTCGCCGAGTGACACATAATATGCTTTTAGACCGAGACATCATGCCGGCAGTTTACGCCATGTGTGACATTCTGCCAGACACGGCTTATACATCACAAACACACTTTAAGATCACGTAGTTCTAACTGGACTGCATGTGTCTCCATCTTTGATTGAGGTTATCCAGTAAACATCCTGGTTCTCATGTAACAGTGAGCTCAATGTGTTGACATGGTTATTTCACTGGGGGGGGGGGGGGGGGTGCTTAGTTCATGGACTCACTGACTGGAGTACAGTGTTTCCATGGCACTTTGTTGCCATGGAAACACTGTACTCCAGTCAGTGAAATATTCAGCACAACAAAAGAGGATAAACATGGAGACACTCAAGCCAAAAGCCATTTCCTTGTAAACAAATCGTGTCAATTGGTTTTGCATTGGACAGTTTAAAATCTCACACCTAATTCACACCACCGCAGTGACCTGCAGGACGTAGATCTACACAAACAGGATAACACGGGATGGGATCTCAGGTGTTTGTCCCCAATACATTCGTGTTAAGTTTAAAATGTTCACATTAACAAAACTCTTTCCTCAGGTTGGATGAGCTGTGGCCTGTCTCCCACGTCTGACCACGATGATGAATTTCATATATGAGGAGCGCACTCGGGTGCAAACGGGCAGAGGGCTGAGCGGGCAACAGATATCATGAGCAGCATGCAATGCTCTCCGTTCCTTTCCACCTGACCTACTTGAGCACCAGAAATAGCAGCGCTCAGGTCTCTGCTTCCAACCCTGTTTTGCTGTTTCACTGCTCCAGCCACGGCGCTCCAGACAGGAGGAGGAAGAGAGGAGAGCATGGCACAGCAACAAAAGGTGCAGGAGGTTCACACGAGCTCTCTATTTACTGGTTCTGCTCTCTCATCGCATCAACGAACTTTGTTGAAAACTTCCATTACGACGGACACTCGGCGTTAACAATTGCCTTATAATAGTGTCATTTTTCAGTTAACTGTTCAGATTTGGTCAGAACATGAAAAGTGGAAGCCATGTGCAGCGGCTCCTCTCTAATGGAACCCTGTGCTTGTGTTTCAGTGTTCATCTGCAGTACTTATATTCAGAAGAAAAGTGGGTCAGTGTTAAAAAATGTATGTAAAAGACTTCACTTCCAAAATGTTTTCAGGTGCCGGGGCGGTGACTATGTGAGAGCCGGATGAGGAACCCAAATATGTCTGTTTGTTTAGTATCATTTAAGCAACGTGTGCAGCTGCAATGTTCTTATGTGGACAAAGGGAGACTGCTCGCCAAACACTATGGAACTGGAGAAACACGCTTGTAAATATGGGTGTGTGGTCAATTCAGCTCTTTTGCAGGCCTGTTGGGGTAATTGCCTGTCAGTGATACCCATCTATCCTTGCTGTAATTACTTCCTGATGCAAAGGCCACAGAGCAATGAGCTGACCTCAGAAATCCTCGGCAGCATTACCAGAAGGATTAATATTTCACACTCATGTTAAAATGTAATGTATTAGACAGTTCCCTTGCTCGTTCTTTGATTCAATGTGTATTTCCATTTCTTATTTACTAGCGAGAGCCAGAGTCACGTCAGGACAACAGTGGAGCCTCTTGTTTCAGGCACCAGCACTTATTGAAACCAATATTCTATTTTTAAATTCTTTCTGCTTCATTTCTTAGAAAACGCTCCTCGACGAATCTTTCCGACGCAGTTGTGTGTTATGTTGCTTATACTCTTTGAAAGTACCATACAGAAAGAAAATGAGAAGAGCCAAGAAAATGTAAGAATATTTTTGAGAGAATACACTCACCCACAATGGCAAGGCTATGTTCAGATCCGCATGCAATCTGTCGAGAAAAAGATTTGAAATATGTTTAAAATGTGCGATGAAAGCAAACAAACAATTTAAAGACTGTAATATCCACCATGTTTTTATGCCAACATTGATACTGAGATACTTTGTACCCAAATCTTCTCTGAAACTGAAATAAAGTTCAATGTGTCAAATTGTAATCATCCAAACTTTAATTCAAAACTGCACACAACACGAGTGCACCAAACGCAGAAGAGCATTAGTGAGGATTGTGTCTGTAAATACATGAGACTTATTCACAAATGCAGGAACACACCAGAGGAGTTGATGCAACGGTCTCAAGACAGCTGCATGTGCCTGCCTTTGATGACCCCCCCCCCCCAACACACAGTCTTTCTCCTCATAACAGCTGCAAGAATTGAGGGGACAATTCTTTATTCTGATCCTGAAATCTAAAAAGCTCAACAAAAGTAAAATATATCTAATATATATCCTCGCTAATACCATTTGAACTGCTTTGATAAAGCAATGTTTTTGATGAAGCATACACCCGAGGCAGGCCATGAATAGAAACAGACCCTTTGATCCCTGAACCACTGACAGGTTAGAATGTGTTACTCCAGTAATGTTCATAGGCCTCGTAAAAAAGTGACAGCTTAATAAATATTGACTCATGACAGTGTTAGGAGGACTTACATGGTGGGGTGGGCTGCAGCTAATCCATCTCGCCTTTAGCTTTTACACACTCAAGGTGGCTTCGCCTTGACACATGCCAGTGCTGCTGAGATGATCGTCCACGTTATTGGCAACCATCTCCTACAATACAGCTGCCATTTAGGCTTCAGGTTAACTGCTGCAACCACAATACTCTCACATAAATGCCCCTATGGGAGAAGAGATCTTTGCCTTCACTAAATGTAAGTGGTCCTCTGGCAGCATGTGTGCGCTCTATGTGATGCACATCATTGCTACTCTTAGTGGGCTTGGCTCACACACATTGTGTTTCACCTCGCACAAAAAAAACAACCTCTGCTCCCTGTTTTCTGTATGGTTGCCTGCTGCCCCCTGCTGGTGTCACATTGACATTTTCTGCTAAAACCGGAGGGCGACGGCCACAACAATACAGTATATAATTAATATTGATAGCACTTAATCTAAAACACACTGCATGTATAAACGTTTGTCATACGCCTCTTAGGTTTTTCAGTCTGTAGGTGTCAAACAGCTACCTGTGTCGCTCCACGGAGGACTTTAACCTCGGCAGGGAGGCGAGCTTCCTGGTTTGGACCCTCTGCTGAAGGATCAGTCGACGGCCACTTTGAGGTCCGACTGGTTGGTGCTTGTCGGCCCAGCTGCCCATAATCTCCTCTGCCCCATGTGAACACTCTCCCACTCTCTGAAATAAATGATGACCGTGTTCAGATACGACAACGATCCTTTAAATCCTGTTAAAACTAATGAGCATCACAGGCATTATATTGCGTTATTATGTTTCACCTGTTTGAGCAACGATGTGCGTCCAGCCGCTGCACACATTGAGAACTTTCTCATTACCCAGCAGTGAGCGCTTCACAAGAGTTGGAGAGGACAGGAAGGGCTCTGTAGCAGTCAGCTGGCCGCGCTTGTTGCTTCCCCACAGAAACAAGTCACCGTCTCCTAAAAACATGACCAGATCGACATTACTCTTCATTCAGCAGAGGCAGCAACAGAAAACAAGGCAGAGCAGTAATTGGGCATTGCTGGTCAACTAATTACAGGACAGAAGGGAGGCCAGACATGATGTATGGACATGCACCTGGAACTGTACGCTGTGCTAATGCTCCCTCTGAGGGAAAAGCAGCACAACATGCTTTACATATCTGCTTTTAGATTATAGCCTCACTTATGTTTGTTTGATGCTCTTCAAGCTATTCAGTGAAAATATACACTTCTAAAAGATCAATAAACAGATAGGACCACTGATGTGTTGAAACATTGGTCTGTTTGCACTATTAAAGACTGTAAATAGAGGCTCGTATTTATGCTAAATAAACCAAATGTGACATGAACACAGCATAAAGATAGTCGTATACGCAGGCGTCATACCTGTAAGGCACACGCAGTGCGCTGAGCCTGCAGTTACCTGGTGTGAGATCTTCTGATCCAGACCTGCAACACATGCACAAGTATCTGAAAACATTTACCGATCATCAGTGTTGTTGAAAATTCACGGAATGCCTAAAAACGTCCTTTTCTAGTTTCACTTACCTGGTACCAGAGAGGGCACCGTAGAGCGGAGGTGTGGTGGGACAGGACGTGGGCCGAGTGCTCTCTTAGCGTGACTGAAAAGACCACTACCCCACTGATATACACGGCCGGAGTCTGAAGTCAGAAGAGACAATAAGGATGTGCGGGGTGACCGCTAAACGAAAACACAGTAATAAAGTTTTTGTTTCAAACTTACCAGTAACAGCTAGTGAATGTCTGAGTCCTGCTGCTACACTCACTACTAGCTCCTCCAGACTCTGAGAACAAGCAGCACAGTGACATCCGCTTAAAAAGGAGCTGATCAAACCGATCACACGGTGAAGTTGGTTTGCAGCAATTTTGATTGGTAGATCAGAAACATTAGATTGGTTATATTGTGGTGTTTGAAGTACGTAACATACACGCTGCTCGTGTGCTCACCTCGATGACCAGTAGATGTGCAGTGTGTGTGACGTTTTGTCCAACACCTAGTTGTCCATAAGCATTGGAGCCACATGCCAGAACTCGACCACAATCTGTCAGTGTGACATAAAAAGAAAAGAAAATCTCTATAAATAAAACAGGAAGAGGAAGGAAGTTCCAGGCTTCTTCTGCCATTCACATTTTTTACAACTCAATGTTGTATTTTTTAAGATGTGGGTTATATTACCTTTACAAGTGGAACTGGCACACTCTGTTGTATATTCTTACATATATTTCTGTCTTTTCTCATTATTGACTGCTGTGACATCCAGATTTTCCCTCAAGGATAAATTAACTTTCTGTCCTCTCTATAATCCCTGTTTATGAGTAAATGCTGAATCATAGCTCATGAAACGTATCCGTCTGGTGTAAAAGGGTTCCCACCGTTGAGAAGAAGAGTAAAATCCCAACCGCAGACTACTTTTGTGACCCTCTGATTCAGACTGGGGCAGAGTTGAAGAGTTGAGACGTCTGCATTGTGGCCAAGTCCCAGCTGGCCTCTGTGATTCTGTCCGCACACAAACACCTCTCCATTTTCTGTCCAACACAAAACACACCACAAACATTTGGAAACCATACAACTGTATGTAAACAGGCAATGGATTGGATTTGTTGTTAGTTTTCCCTTAGCCTTGCACCTACATGTGATGAGAATATAGTACACTCCTTTTAAGATTAGGAAACAATTGGATACAATTGGTAAAAGCAATTTCCTTCTTTCTTCTTCTATTTAATGAACCATTTATTTGGATTTTTGTGTGAAACGTGCAATCTGAAATGATGTAGACATGCATGTTGTGGTGTTTTTCCTTTGACTGTTGCATGAATATGTCTTGCTGAATATGTGTGATGTCTGACATACTGTGGTGTTTTATATCCCATGTAGAATTGGCACTAACTCTCTTAACTAAATACAGTCAACATCAACACTAACCCATTGGGCCCGGAAGAGGGCGCCACATACTCTCTGTTGCATTCACATGGAATCAGGCAGAGAGTTGACGGCAACCCGGATATCATGTTGTGGGTAGTGGAGAGCAGGACGGTAAAATGACTTTATATATTGCAGCATTAGTCAGACTTGGTTCACATCGCCTGAGAGATGTTTCCATGCTGTCATTTCAGAGGAAAGGTGCAGTTTAGGTGCAGACAGTAACCTACCGGTGACAGCCACGGTGTGGCCTCCACCGCCGCTGAGAGCCCGTACAGCCCGGTCTGTTAGAGCCGTGGTGTCCCGGGGCTCCGTCAGGTCCTCCACGTGTCCCTGTCCCAGCTGCCCGTAGCTGTTGGCTCCCTGACGGACACGACATTGATCACGTTACTACTAGTTAATCAGTCAGGAGACATACACAACTGTAACACTTAAATGTGGAATACAAAGAACTTACCCAAGAGTGTAAACAAAACTCCGTCCGCCGGCTCGTTTCCATGAGTAGCGTTGCATCATGCTTTGCGACACTGTCGTGAAGCATGCTGTGCAGCAGCAGGCTGTTTAGGTATCGACGTTGAAGAGTGATATAGCTTTGACAAAAATATTAGGAACACCTCTCAGCACAGTTTAACAACACCACAAACAGCCTCTCAAATGACCATAATGTTGAATTAACACCTCTGTAACTCTTCTTAGAGCACGTTTATGTTATTTAGATTGCATTTGTTTGAACAAAGTGTAACAGTAACCTATAAACTGGCAACTGGGTGTCGAATTAAATAAAGTTGTATTAGTAACATATTTAACATTACTTGTTTTAATGTCTAAATTGGATCAGGTTTCTCCTTTTTAGATGGACAGAAATACTTAAGTGATAAGATGGACATGGAGGTGGAGATTTTCTATTTGGGATGTTATGTATTCCAAATAGAAACTTAACAAACATATAGAACCAGTCACTCATTCAGTGTCCAAGACACCAAAACATTTCAGTTAGTGTCATTCAGAACGGATTTTTACATGGTCCTCGGGTCAAAGGGATAATTATTCTTAGATACACAAACTCCAGCCTGAACATAACTATAAATCGTCATCACTTTCAGGGTGCTCGCTGTCGTCGTTCTGCTTCTCCATGATCATCATCAGCATCTAGTATCCATAACCAAACAAGGACATCAATATGTAACTAAGTCTACAGGTAACAAACTGTTTGACACACTGTGAAGACAGAATACATTTTATTTTTTTATTGTTGTTTTCATACATAGCCTACTCATAGTGTGTATATTTCTTTACAGTAGAAAAATAACGTTTTGATTTCAGGAGCACTACAATTATTTTCACTTCCAAGAAGAGATATTCAAAATCATCACTGTAAAATAAAATAGGTCAGGGTGGGCAATGTCAAGGAAACATTCTTATAACACCAATTTTCACTTTTACAATTACCCTCAACACACAAAAGGGGAACATGATACATACACTGAAAGAATACAAACAAGGTACATTTTATACATCGCTGAAGTGATTCTAAGATTAAATGTGAAGAAGAATTAAATTAAATTTCAAAACATTTTACATGGTAATATACAAGAGCAAAGGTAACTATAGGATGGGAAAACCACATCTGTGTTTGTAACAGCTGGGGATTTTTAAAAAAAGGTAACAAAGTACCATGAAAGCACGTTGACTCTTTGCAATTAAGAAGCCGACCGGGCCAGAGACAACTAAAGCAAAACAGTGACTCGGGCTCAACAGCTCCTCTGGGTTTGTGCAACTTACGGATATCAGTGGCTAAACATAAAATGCGCCTCTGTAAATTGTCTAAGCAATACACCTTGTAGTGGGGACTATGGAGCGTTTTAACAAAAGAAGTGCACATTCATTGTACTGACGAAGGGCGATACACAAGCAGTATCTCTACAGCGGTGCTTGGGGGTGACACAGTGAGCGTTGCTGGACTGTAGGTGGATAACTTCAACTGGAACGTGGGCAGTCAGATACCCAGCTGCTTGTTCAGCCGGCTGAGTGCGTCGCCGACAATGTCAAGCTCGTGCCGAAGCTCCTCCACCACGCTGTTGATGCTGGGAGTGTCTTTCAGCACATCCACACTCTGGGTGTAAGGGTTGTATCGGACTGTGAAGGGACGCTTGATAGTCTTGGCAAACTCCCTGAAATTGACATAATATCATTATTGAATTATGTGTAGTGGATATTTAGATAGTTTTCATCTACTCATATCGTTATGCATATATCATGTTAAATTTCTGAGCTCACCTCATCTTGACTTTGGCCTCCTCAAAGCTGTCTGACACAAAGTAGACATCCTGAAATGTTGTGATGATGCATTCTTGTTTGGATGTGACTTTGGGGTCAAAAGGCATTATCCTTGCCTTGCCAGATAGAGCATGCTGTAATAGAGAAACATATTTCAGATGATCGTGCTGTAATAGAGAAACATAGTTCAGATGATCGTGCTGTAATAGAGAAACATAGTTCAGATGATCGTGCTGTAATAGAGAAACATAGTTCAGATGTTGTAACCATTGCATGTAAACACTAGCACACATTTGGATCATTTGATTAAACACAAATCAGTCTGTATTTAGCTGTTCCAAATGAAAGAGTGGTTCTATTAGAGAAAGAATGTAGTCTGTTATCAAGTATCTATAATGACGAAATTCTAAGATACACTTGAGGATTAAAATGTTCGAATAGCCAAACTTGTACAATGACTTCTCCATTTTTTGAATATAATTCTGGGTTTGGCTGGTTAGAAGGATGGTGTATAGGTAATATACAGCTGGCACTTTTCCAAATGATAAGTACATTTATGATTAATACAATTGGAAAATATCAGGAGGAAGACTGTTGACATGTCCACAGTATGGTCCAAATGTTTTACCTTAAGCTCACTGATAGACGACAGCAGTCCTGCTCCATATGCTCGCAGCTGCCCCTCTTGCTTGCATAGGCCAAACTCCACCGTAAAGAAATAGCACTGTAACATAAGAGTCCATAAAACACAAACAATTAAGAAAATGACTCTAGATTCAAAAGTTGAGAATATGAAATTGAATTTGATTTGATCAGTGTCACTCACTGTGGCAAGTTTCTGAACTGAGTCATCTGAGGCCCCGAGTGAAGCAAGACCGATCTCCTGAGAAAACTGGGCGAAGCTGGGCTCTGCTAGCAGTGGGACGTGACCCAGCAACTCATGGCATGTGTCCCTTGATTATGAAAGATAACCAAATATCAGGACCCATAGCTTTATATGAATATACGTCCCTTTTCTAAATATAGTACTGCATATCACTCACGGCTCTGGGGTGTATAAGGGGTCGGAGCTGTGCCGCACATACTGGGTACAATGGAAAACCCGGAAGGCCAAACCAGCGAGGAAGTCACGAGGGGACAGATAACCAGCCACAGGTCTGATGGTGAATCCAGTGCGTTCTGATAAGACATTTGAAAAGGCAGATGAGTGAGTGACTCCATGTACTAAGCTGAAGATATTTATATAAATTACATTTCCAATTTTGTATTTGGAGCAAAAATTGAAAAACCTACCCCTGAGGAAGCGGGACACATCTTCCAGCTGAGGGATGTTGTCCTCCCGAAATTCACAGTATTTGGACAGCAGTGGCAGGTTCTTCAAGTATTCCCGGCAGGCGTGGGTGGGGTACAACTTGTTCAGCTCCCTGTACACAACTCCCCAAGTCTTCACTTCTTCCTCTGTGAACTCAATACGAGGAATGAGATCCCCACTGCAGCAAGAGAGAATAATTCTATGAATATCAAGTAAAAACAGCACAAATCTCCAAAAGAACCAGTGAAAAGCACTCACTGTTTGTAGGCCATGGCGAGATCAGCAAAGTACTTTCGCCTTTTGCGGTAGACGTTGTCCTTGAAACCCTGATGGAGAGGAACATAGAAGGAAATGTGAAACATTCAATTGATGAGTTTACATTTTTTAAGTCAACAAGTTATCTGAATTGTGATTACATACCGGGTGATCAGCATCCAACTCAGAGCCGTACATCAGGACACGGTTGGCACACTTGTCCAAGTCTGAAATCTTCTTTGGGAACCACGGTACATTATACATATCTGAGGAGAGAGAGAAATTAGTTGTTTTTTGATCATACGGTCAAATATAGTTAATATATTTCTAATAAAGTACCTGCAGGATTTCATTTACCTTCCTCATCTAGGCAGGAGTTATCTGGAGGCTCCATATCCACCACGTTCACATGCTTTCTCAGCAGCTGGATTATTTCATTCAGTTGTTCGTGGTTGCTGTCGCAGTCCACAAAAATTTCAAACTCAGAGTTGCGGCGTTTGGATTTTCTTGACTCTATGTGTACAAGGTTGACATGGTTTTCCTGCAAAAAACATGGAGAATCATGGTTAAGTTATCAACGGTAAACAAGTACTAATAGACATATATATCATACGGATGACATAAATATGGTATGAACATGTTTGTTAGAGAAATATTACCCGACACTGGCTGTAAAAATCATTAAACAGGACATTGCAAGAAGGAATAGAGTTGAAACACAAACAGGTAATGCATCAAGTTGCTGCTCAAAGGTCTGTCTCTGAGTCTCTGATATATATACTGAGGATAACACACAAGTGCGTTGGAACAGAATGATTTGCATAAAGTCTGGACGTTGTTTGGACCCGTTTCTTTGATAATTCGCTCTGTCTAAGGTCATCTTATCCTAATCGGAAGACGTCATGGTTGCAAATCAGCCTACGTAAATACTGACATGCTCAACAGATTTATTATCTCCTCTTTGACGCCAGGTCACAAGTAGCCGAAGACAACCGGCTGAAACACTCATTTAAGAAAGATAGCTGTGATACCTAATCAAAACACAGCTGGGACAGTTTGTGTGAAAAGAGGTTCACACAAAGTTTCACACGAGGGCACAGAGATCGTGGAGACACAGAACATTCTTTAGTTTTTCCAACAATGTTGTATATTGAAGACACTGTATTCCAAATAAACACATTGATAGGAACAAGAACCATGATTATAAAAACGTTGTCCATACCTGAAAGAGTTTGAGTGCCTTAACTAGTCCTCCCACTTCATTCTTGAGGGAAAAGATGATGGTTGCTCTCCCTTTCTCTGATGTATTCTTCTTTTCAGTGTTTTCTTCAATTTTTGTGAACGTTGATTTGTTTATCTGAAAACAGTAATGAAACACAGATTTTCATTTGTGTAACCGCAATAAATCCTCCTCATTCAACAAGCAATAGTGGCTCTCCTCTGATGGTCATGTGTATATGTATATGTGATTATTTAATATCATCTAAAATTAATGGAAATTCCCCTTTTTTTAGTTAGTGTTAGCCCCTAAAAGTAAAGAACTAATTGCAAACAGAGAACTCCTATTAGAAATGTGGCACCAGCATCAACAGTAGTGTGAAATCAGCACTTTATTAGCATATTCTGTGCTGCTAGTAACGTTCAACGTTGCAATTAAAGAACAATACACTGGTACCTAGTTTGGTTAACTTGAGTCAATGGCACACAATGGATTTCCCCCGTGACTGAACCCTAACTCAGGGCAGGTAATGACGTGAATGCACAACTTCTAATCCCTTAAAGTGTCTGTAGCCATCCCAAAGAACATCTTATACTAAACATGCGTACCCTTAACAAGTAGTAGGGTCAGAGTCACAGATAAGTGCTGCAGAATATTTCTGTCCCCCTGAAAAAGAAACATGGATAGTTTCTTTACATTCATGCTGATGAAACAGCTAACAGCAATGCCTTAGTTACATGGAGACAGGGCTGAGATTAGTGACCTCATGGACCAACCCCTCTCGTGTGTTTCAGCACCTTGAACAGCGCTCTCACGTTGACGCATGGCTGTGCGCGCTGCACATGCGGAAAATTCATGTAATCCTGCATGAGATTTTAGAAGCAGGACTGTAACACACCAGTGGCACAGAAAAGCTAATCTCTTTTGATTGGATGCAACTTTTTCTCGTTGACTTTAGTCGTAGGATACATCTGATTCAGACACTATATTTTATTCCAATCGTGTAACTACAAATAACACTTTCGAAATATTATATTACAGTTTTATGGATTAAACTGATTGTGGGAGAGGAATACATCTGTTCAATTAATTAAGTTGCTGCCTACCATATTCCGCCCTTGGAGCATTGTGTAGACAGCACGGCAGATCACTTTTCGGTGGACCCTTGTCGTTAGCATCCCTGAAAGCGTTCGTGTATGGAGACTGGATCAGGACGCACGGGCAACTCTTTGCGTCTCGGTTTAACGAAGATGAACACGTCTCTGTCTCAAAGAATCGCCTTACTGCAATCTCATTTAGACAGCGGGAAGCCTATCAGCTCCCTGCGTTGAGATCTCACCAGACATTAGGCAGTGTTTAATCACTGCAGCGCGCAGGTTCGATGGATTTACGCACACGCGAGTTCATCCTCAAATACTCATTTCCCCTTCCTTGATGTCAAAATGTATAAATGTAACTTAGACACCGCTTTGAATTTGTTTTAATATACATATAACAGTTCATGTGATTATTCTAAATTGTCTTTTGGTTGCTGCTCCATTTAACACATTTTTGTGAGACAAAATATTTAGTTCTCTCTATAAATTCGAGCAGCATTACTGTTTTTCAGAAAAGTCCCGAAATTCATAAAGAGCAGCTGTGTTTCAGATGTATACAAGCTTACAGGTGAAGGTCACAGACACAATCGGATTGCCTGCTGAAGCTACAGACGGTTGGTCACAGCTTAGAGAACAATTCGTCGTTGATTAATTGTTGCAACATTGAAAGAGGCAAGCATCTAACGAATATTACAAAATAGAATAAATGTATGTAGGCCAGCTATTAGGGCAATTTATTTTTTATAAATTACTTCTTTCAACATCGCTTTAGCAAATGTCTCCTGCAGTCTCCTTTTCCGTGTGCGCAATGGAGACACCACAGCACATGCAGGCTGATCGGTTTATCTTTAATCTCTTCTGTCTTTTACTGTGAAAATCAGTGAATGATGTACAGACTGAGCAATAATGAAACTCTTATGACAAATTATGAAATTTGGAGGTATCTCTCTTTAACCCTGTTAACCGACGCAGATTACACTACAACAAAACGGCTTAAATTAATCTGCGCTGACGACAAAGTGAAGGCTTATTTATTAAGACAAACCGATTAAAAAAAGTAGTCTTGAAATATCACATGCAAGCAAACCTCTTCTCAGTTGTCTCACCGGACAGAGCAAATCAGGTCTTACCTCATTGTTCAGCAGTTTTTCTTCAAGGCCAATGTTCATGGAGTCAAAAGATCTTCCTCGACGTGGTCCTTCGTTTTTGTTTGAGTACATGTTAAAGAGCTGCTAGATGAGCTGCCTTTGTATGTACTGCTTACCCCGCTATGTAAAGTGGGCTGTCTACCCCGATAAGCAGCGCGCTTTGCTATTTAACTGTGGGGAGCAAGAGGAGGGGGCAATAATCTCACTCTGAGCAGCAAATGGAAAAAGAGAGCCACGGCTCACGTCATTATAGGGAAAAGGACTATCTTTTATTTCAAGTAAATGCCTGAAACAGCTCCAATCAGATGACTCATAAATCCTGATTTTACTGAAAGAATAAAACACCAGATTGAACAGTTTTTTTCATTGGATATTTCAATGTGTTTGATAAAAAGCACAGCAGTCCTCATTCAAATATAATAAAAAGCAGGATTTATCTTTATATTTAGTTATGTTAGACTCACCTGCAGGCATTAAACTAGAACCAAATATGGATAAATGTGCCATCACAGTGACACTGAACACATTTGCTCGTCATGTTGACATACGCAGTTAATTCTCCCTGTTTGTTGACACCTAAGACCACCACTAAGAAGATGTCAAGGTTTAAGAGGATTCAAGCCTAGCCCTCCTTTTCAAAATCCTCTGCACTAAGCCTCTAGGTTCTTGTGCGCACAACACAAAGAACCTGCATGTTTTCCTGCTTTAACACCATGAGCCTTTTAATAAGATCAAGACGATCGGTGGGAAAAGCTTCGGAGGTCTCTGTAAGCAGAATCAAGATGAGGGAGCACTGAACTTAAGAGGCCTCATTACTTTAAACAGATAACACCACTGTTCTCTCTAAGCTTCAGTCACCTCACAAGTAGGACAGGTGAGATGTCTTTGTCTGTCAGCCAGTACCTTTAGCTCCACATGGCTCTATAGTGCAGTGATACATGTGGCTGATACTCATGCTGTTTTCTCAGGTGGTCCTGGTCCGTGTCCCTCGTGACATCGACAGATGCTTTACACAACAAAGGAGGCAGTGAAGGGAACTTCCTCCTCTCTGAAACTGAATCCAGATCTGCTCTCAGATGTTGTGTTAGAGCTGCAGGCCAAGCTTTCATAATGCAGCCATGTTTCAGAATAGTGAAGTGCTGTTAACTTATTATGTGGCCATCCAGTCTGTTTTGGTGGTCGGTAACACTGGGTCCGGACCCTCAGGTGGGTCGCAGGAGATTTCATTTCTTATTCTTCAATTCAACATTTATATCTACAGTACCTTTCAGCCACATGAGAGAGCTTCAATGCTCGTATTGTTCTGATAATTGTAGCCTATACTTATAACATTGAATCTAATATAAAAGGCGAGCATACATTCTGTTCGTTTAACTGGTGAGCGGAAATGAAAAGAGCTTGTTTACTCTGCGTAATGCATTTATTCAGTATTTGACATACGTCTTTATCACATTTAGAACTAAGTTGTGATTTTTCAAACGTATACAGTATGTCTTTGAAATGGCTGGTTTTCCTATTCCAGATAATTTATTAAAGAGATGCAGAATTGGCAGTAAAAATGGTCATGACAATTCATGACCCTCTTCTCACGATTTATAGATAAGGCCTATTGTGAATTTGGTTGCGCTGGTTTGCGATTTTGAAAAAGTGGATCCCCAGAAAAAAAAGTTTGGGAAACACTGGTCTAGGCCATTTAAACACACCTGCCAGGCACCATTCATAATAACATAAACATCAGTCTTACAGTAACTACATGTACCAGAATGCATTGCTCATTAAGGTAACCCCCTTTAACATTACCAACGCATGAGTGAACATGTTTACCTGACTGTTCTTTATCATCTCCACCTACAGAAGGCAAACATGTCTGCTTCAAACAAAACACGGCCTGAGCTACAAAACACAACAAAGGAACAATGTATAATTTGTACAGTTGAAAGGTCAGCTGAAACATTTTGTCTCCATTTGACCTCTGCTCAGAATAAGGAGCAGTGTTAGTCACATTTAGCAACACAGCAAAACAAAGACATCTCAATAGGCTGGTTTCTGTTGGCATCATACTAATTATGAAACTATTAGTCCATTAATTGATTAGACCATTGAAATCGAATCAATTGGCAATTATTTTGATTAGCAATTCATCATTTAAACTCAAGTAAAAAGTCCAGACATTCTCTGGTTTTAATTTCTCAAATGTGAAAATTTTTCGCTTTTTTTGAAAGTCATTCTTAATTGCAGCCCAAATGATAATGATAATACACCTTTAATTATAAAGCACATATTTTATCATTATTATTATTACAAAAAGAAACTTAAAATGGTATAAAACAGTAGAATTATTGACTATTAAGATGATAGAAAAGCCTTTTGATTAAGACTACCGAACTGACAGATCTAAGGGGATTTGCTCTTTCTTTGGCAGCATTGGTAACAGCATCTAACGAAAACTACAATAGCAGTGAACTTCAGTGTAGTGCAACATCTTTATTATACAAAGCCAACTGAATGGTATGGCCATGATATTGTTCATGATTCAGTAATGAATGGTTCCTTTTATTAAGCTTCTACATAGCAACAGCAAGCACATCCAAATCCATTTATAAACACATTTTCACAGACAGCTCTTTTATGCTGCACATGCTCTGGCCATGTCTTTGATCTCCTTGTGTCTTGACAGCTCCTGGATCAGATCTACTTCATTTCATGTCGGAGTCAGAGGCACACAGGTTTACAAATCATGCATTTGATCTGCTAACTGATATTTTCTGCAGCACACTCACTATGATACTAGCTTTTTATTATATAAAGGTATGTTTAAACAGTTTAAACTCTTATTGATAATGTGATATGGCTCGTTACGTGTCTGCTCCGCTTTTCAGACGGTAAGCTTTGAAATGCTTTAAGCCACCGAGTACCTTGACAGGGGTCAGAGTGTGCAACATGCATATAATGGCTCATTGTGGTTCGCTCTCCTGGCCTGACCTTATGTGGATAATGTTCTCCGAATAATTAGCTTCAAGGATGTTATAAGACTGAACTCAGCCATTATTAAACTTTTTTTTAAAAATATTCTAAACACCAGTAGTCCGTCTATACTATAGCAGAGATATACTTTAATATTTTATTCTATAAATTGAGCAAAACATACTTTGCAAAAAGATTTAAGGTTAGGCAGTATGTCAATCTGTTCTTTAAAACACTTTTATTTGTACATTTATTAAAATACATGTGCATGTACTGTAAACTTTATAGTTATTTCTCTTTAGCTGAACTCAGTTATAGTCAGGAGGAGCTTTCCTGCTCCTCCTGAGTGTAGCTGAGGCTCACATGATCTATTGCAGTCAGTTAGGAAAACCAGTCTTGGAAAGGCTGTTGAAGGGCTGCCAGGCTGACCAGGCATCCAAACTGGAGGAACAGGAATAAGTTACAATTATTAATTCCTAGCACGTTTTATGTTTCTATTTTTAAAATATTGCACAAGCTCGTATTTCTAATCACTCTGTAGGTTTTTGTAGATGCTGCGTGTAAGACATGTCCGAGCGTGTGAGGGCATCACCGTGTCTGCCAGTCTGTCCCAGTTATGTTCACTTCAATCAGAGGGATTTACTCACAGTGTCTGAGCATCAAGCTGCAAGAGATCTCTCTGGCTAATCTCACCCCTGGTACTAATAAACTGCCCAACATGAGCATTAGGATGTATTAAAACTGCAGTACATCTCACTGGGCATTTGGGAGATACATAAATGCTACACTATTACTTGTGTTGTCTGTGTGAAGCCCCATTAGTTTAGAAACCAAGGGCTGAAGTAATGAATGACATTCACACTCTATTTATACAGTTAACATACTGTAACATTAATGCACAAATTAATCTATGATAGTAATTTAAAAAAATGTTTAAACATATTTTATTTCTACTGAAGAAAAGTCTCAGTGGTTCTACTTGAGTGGGACGTTGTCTCCCTTTCCATTCCAAACTGGTGTTATTTGAATTTCCAGGGAATTCAAGGTCTTCTAACAACACTTTATCAATAGAGGTACAGCCTTTCACCTGATCCTGAACCTTGTTTGATCAACTAACTAATCAGAGCAGTGAATGGTCTGCTTACGTACACTTCCTGTGGCAACACTATACGTCTCTTTAATTAGCTTCAATTCTGTCATTGCAGAACAAACAACAGCATATGCCACTTGGTGACAGGCGTCAACGGTACACAAGGACAGGACAGGATAGAGCTGCGGCCATAAACACCTGCCACATTTAAAATAGGAACCTGATAAGTAATGAAAAATAATTTATAGAGATTCAAAAAAGGGCACTGAAAGTCTTTAAAGTTAATCTGGTCTTTTGATTATGATTAGGTTGTTAGGGGATCATTCAAGAGGTATATTATTCTAGTGCATTTATATCTTATCACCACATGATTTCCTCAAAACAATCAATTGAAAACTCAATTTAAGAAAATATTATAACAATCTTTATGAAAGCAAACATTTTTTTATTAATAATGCAGTATAATTTTATTAGTTTTTATCAAAAGTCACGCAGTTTTGTTAAAAATCTTACACATTGAAGGAAGCAGTTTAAGGCCTTCAATGCAGACATAAACGTACATCACATTCATTCATCTTTCACACTTCATAGTATAATTAGTTAAGTAGTCTTTATTGCACCTTTTCTTTATTTGTGTATGAACAATAATTCAAGAAGAGGATTCAAGTTTTTAATCAACCCTTTTATTGATTTCAGGATGTTTTATGATATTTGGTGATAAACAACCTTTCGACCTCGGGCATACATGAGATTGCTATGGTCACAATGTGAGAAAAAATGTTTCACAGCCATTGACAAAGATTGTACACTGCATAGCATCCTCGCTGTCCAGTTTATCATTACAACGTCGTGACAGAGAAGGCGGTTGAAGAAGTAGAACAGGTAGTTCAGGCAAACGCAAACACCAACGTCACCACATCACTTTTTGCGAGCAGGAGACGTCAGTGTCTTTTGATTTTCAGGGTTCACGAAGGGGAAAGTTTCATTGTGATTCTGTTGACAAGAGACAGAAAGCCCGGAGAACTGCAGGAAATGAGCTGAAGGGTGCTTTGATTGCACCCAAGAGCATCATGCGTCTTTATGAACATGTCTTGTCCAGGTGGTTGTGAATGGGCCGGGCCTTGGAATCAAAGCAAACGTGACACTGCACACGCATTCTTCATCCCTTCATTATTCCTCCTGCTCGCCCAGCAACAGGTACTACATCAGTGTTGGGGCCATTTTACACACTCAAGAGGGCTTCATTTAGATGATCCAGCCATGACACAATTATACATGAATTTGAAGGTCAGTCCCCGTCTCGGGGCATGATACAAGAATACGTGAGAAAACATTCTGCTCATGTTGAATGACAGACTGTCTTCCAGTTCAATTACTTTTACTGCTTTTTAATTTATCAAAGGTTAAGGCTTTCCAGGATGTTTTTCTTCTTTGTTGTTTATTTACCTCCAAATCCCTCAACGAATGTTCAAATTATTATACATTTATCCAATTCATGGGTATGTCATGTGACAATTTATGTAATATTATTTCCAAGTTACAGAAGGACATTTGTGTGCCAAATATGAATTTTCACACAAATGTGAGACAAAAATAGAAGGCATGTCACATAATGGCAAAATGTCAGGTCATCTAACAGAACAGCGAGTTGTGTGGGCGGAGGTAAACAGAAAAAGAAGTAGCTGACATCCAGCATCAGCGTCAGACAGGCATGACATGCCTTAGCGCCCTTTGAAGTGTATAGAGCACCGACCCCGTGTGCATGGAGTCAGATCATATCAAGCCGCAGTGAAGACTGGCAGACTGACAATGAAGTGTGGCAGGGCAGCAGGAAACATCTGGGCTTCAACCTGATCTCTGTGACATAACACGCCTGGCAGCGCGGCCTGAAGACAGAGCACCCAACAAAGTGCAAGTCATTGGCCACAAGCAATCTTGAAAGGCCAAGCATGATTACATCTACATCATTCTAACCATTTACAGCACAAACAGGACATGACTCTCAGATCAAAGCACTGGCCTTACTATGTGCATCACAAGTCTAGTCAAGGTTCACATCGTGTCCAGAGATAGGATTAAAAAGAGAGGTTTTTTCCCCCATAGGGTGATCTCTCTCATGCGCTCTGACCATCTCGGCATTTCCATTAGAAAGAGTGTTCTACATATCAATCCAAGCTTTAATTAAAAAGCTGCTATATTCACAGAGCCTTCGTAAGCATGCAGGTTGTCCTGCTCTTTTCCATGAGTGGGCGAAACGGTGCATTTGGAAACCAAATGAGATCGTTGTTGCCAGGCTCGAGCCTTTCATCTAATTTTATTGTCGTTACCGAGTGACTGTCACCCTCTGGTACACACTTGATGTTGTCATCAGCATTGGTACCATTACTCATATGCTTGGAAAGGTGACTCAATACACAGTCAATGGAGTTTCATCTGATGTAGAGATGTACATTTGTATCATACAAAAAATAGGAACAAATAATAATATTCATTGTGATGGATGCATTAAATGATGAAAGCATTAACCGCATTGACATATGGTGTGTGTCTGATGGAGACATTGATAAGGACAGAAGAAAGGTACAGCAAACAATATATAAATACATAGTATACAATTGTTCTATAAGTATTTTATGATAAAATGTACAATATTCCCATAAAATCTTAATTTTTATCAGTGTTTCATGTCTTTGAATAAATAAAAAGTTCCATAGATGCAAAAGAAGAGATTGTATCCGACTCGTTGCTCAGTAGATTAAAGGTATTTTGGAAGATGGGACTTCCTGCTGCGGCCTTTTATGGGCCTATGTAGAGATCAATGGAGTTGTTTTTGTTTGTTTGGATTTCAGGCAAAGCCAAAGATTCCTGAGATGTTTTTTTATTTTATTGTGGACTAAAACTCTCATTTCTGTAGGTGCTACTTATTTTAATTTTTTTAACGACATTTAATTTCCCAGAAATGATATAAAAGGTGTCTAGCTGGTTTGTACTAACCCTTTCTTTAAAAAGAAAACTTAAATACCAAAAATGCTTTTTGTCAGTGAGGACTTTAGTAAGAGCAACTAATCACAAACGAGAAAGAAAGATTTGTTTTTATCAAAAGACTGTAAATTGTTTAATACAAAAATAGGATACACAAAATAAAACACTTTAAACAGAAACACAATCGAGTGTGGCTCGAATAAACAGTTACTCTGTCCGTCACTCGTGACGGTGCGACATCCTCGTTTAGACTTTCCAATGGAAATCCAAAAATACAACTTGAAGCAGGACCTTTGGAGGGGAAATAGAGGCTGCTATAAAAAGCAGTGATGAGAGTCTGGATGAGTGCTGAACACTGATATGCTGGGAGCCTCAGACAGGAAACCGTTTCCTCACCATGTCTGCCATTTGGGGATCTGTCTCTGACAACATGGACTGCAGGTGCTGAAACTGTACAAGAGGAAGAAGGGCGGGGTGGAAACATAATGTTTATTTTCCACTGGAGCTGCTGGTCGATGGCAGCCGGCAGTCCATCACGCGTCTTTACCTGATGATAAATCCTAAACCCTTTTATGAAACAATGGCACCACGGGCAGCAGTTGGCACAGGATTAGGCTATTAGAGAAAATTCAAGGTGTAATTAACTTGAATCAATTAATCTATTTGTTAATGAGACTATAACATGTTTGATATTTTAAATACATAGAACTCAAAGAAGCTTCAACCAACCATCTGATATTTGTACCTAATACAGGACTTATCGTAGAATATAACATTTCCTGTTGATTTACTTTTTTCAACTAATCACATCAACAGTAATAACATAAAACGGTAATGTATTATTTTATACTAGATTAACAGGTTTAAACTATGTTTTTCTGACACTTCTGTGGGAACAGTTAGGATTGTACAATAACCAATGAAAGTAAAAAGCAGACATGATGATCGTAGTTGCTCCATACGCAAGTGTGATACATATCTGATTAAAACCTGAACCATGTTGGAGAAAGCACTTACTGAAGTCTTAAAGTTGGGAAGTAAACTGCCCGCAGCGATGAGAGCCGTCTTCTCTGTGAGGTAACCGTTCTTCACCAAATCTGACACGGTGGCCTACGAAGAAGAAGAAGAAGAAGAAGAAGAAGGATTTAATTTAAGAATCTCAGTGAAACAATCTGATCCAACAGGACAGTTAGCAAACAGTTACTTTGGTATTATTACCGTGGGAATTTGAATGCAGATGTCAGCTAGAAACTCAGCTGTGATCTCTGCTAGAGTCTGTAGCTGTTCATCTTTTGTGCCTTCTTTGCTGGGACCCTCATCTTTGTCCTCACTGTGGTACTGAAGCACTCGCAAAACAGTTCCAATGAGGGGAAGACCTGGAGTCAACAGACACAACGTATTTGCACAAAACACTGATATCGTCATTATATTTCTATCTGATTTTTCCCTGTTTAATGCAAAATTTAAACTGCTTTGATTGGCCCCAGTCATGAGCTTAGAAAATGACTAGTATATCAGAAAATTGCATCTACTTATTAAAACAACAAAGAGTAAGCATTGGATGTATTGTTGCTTTAGTAAAGTGTAGCCTGTTTCATAATGAAAACCCCTCTCCTGAAAATGAAGTCTTTTTTTTGTACGAAGCTAACCTTCGGTCACGTGACCTGACCTATTAGCTGAGGTTGGAGTGAATGTCCTTGCCATGCTAAGCCTGAGTAAGTCTCTCTCTCAGTTTCCATGCATGTGTTCAGTTGGAGATGGAGAGCATGCTCATGTGTTGATATGAATGAAACAGATTTTGGGGAGGTCCCATTACACTGGACCTTTTCAAGGGGCCCAGCCATTTCTATGGGCAGGGCCTGTCTACAGTCAACACCAAATCAACATTCACTGTGTGACATGCATTCAAAAAGGCACATCTCCGGGCTGATGTCACTCTGTTACAAAACGTACTTGTGTCGCTTCTGCTGCACCACTGATCCTGGCACCTATAAAGAGCCTGCAGCACAGCAAAGGCCTGCACCAAAATGCTCTTCTGCTCTTGCAGGACAACGGGAAGATCAGTTGGCTGGCAGAGGTCCTCACACACAACGTCGCAGACAAAGTCCCACACTGCTTTGCCGGGTCCATCAGGGGCAGCTGGAAGGCACAGATGAACAACGCGTCGTCTGTTGAGAGGTTCCTTCAATCTTCTGTGTAATTTTACTGAGCCAAGAACTATGGTGGCCACCTTTAACTTCTGAAATGATGTGCAAGTCGCTGAACTCAACATTTGTAGTGTCGATCACTCTTACCTAAAGTCTGAATGCCCTCATCTATGGTGGTGAGGAGCTGGAGGGCGTGAAGGTAAACCTCTAAGCCGTTCGGACTATCTGATCTGTGAGAGCACTTTGACACTGTTGAATACTGAGCATCAAATAAGTAAATCATCAACATCATAAGCACCATATATTTACCTGAGCTGCTTGGCTGCCTCGAGAAGACATGAGGCCACATCCAGACGGCTTTGGCCGTCGTCGTCGTCCTCCTCCTCCTCTTCCTCACTTTGTTGAGCTGTGATCCAACTCTTCATCAGCTCTTCGTCGAGGTCAAACAGTTTGTCAAGCAGCTCTCCAACCTTCTCAAGCAGGTCAGCTGTAAAACACACAGGGTATTACTTATTAGAACCATTTCAGAAAGCAGACAACAGTAAAGTAGTTAAAGGTGCTTTTCTTGTTGTGAACAAGCCACAGGTATGTTTACATTCAGCATTAGTCAACAGAGTGTCGCCTTGAGCTCTAACAAATGTGCTGAATGCATGTCCCTTGTCAAAACCTCCACACAGGGAGCCTCTAAGATAAACAGCTTACAGGGACTTTGACTTAATGTAAGTCATCTTGGTATGTCAAACAGAGGTTTCCTTTTTCTACACAAGTAACACGTTATCAGCTTATTCAAAAGTTTTGAGTAAAAGCATGGTACTGTTGGTAGAACTGCACATGATGAATAACAGGTTGGAGCGCACAGACGTCTGCTGTCGTATTCGCTGAAGCCACAGGGAACAGACGTCTTTCTGAGAGACGCAGGTCAGCAGCAATCTGCAAACATCATCACAAAAGACTCTCAGTCTCAGTCTCAGTCACACACTCTCTCTCTCTCTCTCTCTCTCTCTCTCTCACACGACTGCAGAATAGCAAATGCAAACCTGCTTGTTTCCAGAAGGGTTGGAGGATCTGTATCTCCAAGCAGAAGCAACAGCACAGCGCTGTGGACACGCAGGGAGTTGCATTAATGAAAACAAAACACAACAGTGAACAAAATCTATTACAAAAATGACAGATGATGACTTTTGCCCACCCCAAGTCTTCATTTTGGCTCAGAGCCAGACAAGTGTCAGGAAAGCAAGCAATGTTTCCAAGGATTCCCACACAAATTTCCTAGAGAAGCAAAAAAACAAACAAATATATAATCAAAAATTAAATACATAATATAGATAGATATATTTTGACACAGAATGTATGAACCGGAAAATAATTTCACTCACTGTGAGACGTGGACAACGAGATTTGGCTATCACTCCGAGAAGGATATCCGTAGCTTTGAACTCCTGCAGAAAACCAGCCACATCCTGCACACAGGTGGTGAATAAACACTCATTAGATGATGCGTTACTGTAGATTAAGCCTCCAAGCAGTGTATAAAGTAGTTAAAATGAGCCCACCTATACCCGCTGCAACATTAAAGGGATACCGACAGAAGACACAGGGGGGTAAATAAAACCCAGACCGGTCAAAAAATGTAAAGCCGATGGCACACAAATAAAGACCTTATCCATGGCCATGTCCCAGACTCTGCACAGGTCTTCCTCATCATCATCGGGGAGCTGCATCACACCTTCAGAGTTCACCTCCGAATGCTCAGTGACCATCTGGAACACATGACTAGATGTTTAATCACCACTGACTTGATTTGAGGTCTCTAATCTAATCTTGGCTGATCAGAAAGGCGATTGTCAAGTCAAGAAAAATAATTGCACATCAAATTCAGTTGTCACTGCCTGATCTCCAGTACACATGTGATTGAAACATTAATTACAAATGTGACATGAGTGATAACAGCCAACCAACATGGATGAGACGAGTCAGGGTGCTGAAAAGCCAGTGCTTGCTGTAAACGGTGTCTCCAATGGCGTCCAGATCTCCGCCGCTCTTTGCATCGCCTGCTTCTGGGGGCGGTGATGGGTTCCGGTCCATTGCAGGACTCTGTATTCCAGTTGGAGATGAGGATCTCTCATTCTCCACTTCTTCAGCACCATCACCTCTACAGTCTGGGGGGGGGGGGGGGAAATAGTGGCACACGGAGTAAAGCTCGTTTTAGCATCAATGCAAATTCCTCTTTTGCTGCTGTTTAGCTTTCATACTCAAACAGTCAACTCACCCATAGTGACCGCTCTCACTGGTGAATATCAAACGTAACTCACTGGTGAATATCAAACGCAATATTTCACTGTACTTTGCTGAAAACAAAGCATGTCACGGCAGAGCTTCCAGACGACATTTCAAACAGCCTCCATTTAGAACAAGTACCTGGATGCGCATGCGCGAATTGTGTACACTCTGCGCAATCTTCTTCCTGTGGTAGATCACCTCAAGTTAAAATGAATACTGCCACCTGCGGTGCATAGCGGGAATGACAGGGAAATAGGTTCAGCAGGTGTACCTGTGAAAAGGATGGAGCATCCGTTGTAGGCTATATTTATCTTTTTTACGAGCCATAATCCAGGGCCACGATTACTGTCTGTGTGTCCTACCGATTCACACACACACACACACACACACACACACACACACACACACACACACAGTGCTTCACATAAAACCATTAAAAGCATCAAAACATAAGGCAAAAGAAAAGGAGATTTAAAAACAATTAAGAACATTCATTGAAACAATAAAAACAGTCATTAAAACATTAAACAACAGTGTAAGAAATAAAATACAGTAGTAAAATGCAGAAATGCAGGAAATTGATCAATATATTAATTGAATCTGTTTCAATTAAAGGCAGCAGCAAACAGAAAAGTCTTCAATCTTGATTTAAAGGAGCTGAGGGTCTCAACAGACCTGCAGCTTTCTGGGACTTTGTTCCAGATGTGCGGAGCAGAAAAACTGAACGCTGCTTCTCCAGGTTTAGTTCTGACTCTGGGAACAGAGAGTAGACCGGTCCCAGACGACCTAAGGGGTCGGGATGGTTCATAAGGTAGCAGCAGATCAGAGATGTATTTTGGCCCTAAACCATTCAGTGCTTTATAAACCAACAGCAGGATTTTAAAGTCAATTCTTTGTTTGACAGGAAGCCAGTGCAAATACCTCAGGTGTGGAGACATCTGTCTTTGAGATGTCAACTGTCACCTCCAGAGGTGAGGTGAATGGAGAATGTTAGCGGTAAAGAAATTAGGGGCACCATAAACCTCCAAATAATCTGGCAGAAGTTGTAGTGATTAATTTACCATGTTTGTGTTAACGCTAAAAACATGTACCAAAATATCATAATGAAAATAATTGTTAGTTGCATCCCTTGACAATAGCATTAGCATAATTTATTTTTTGATTTTATTGCTTTATTTCATACGGGACAGTGCACATTAATAAAAACATTTCTGCAAGAGTTAGCCAAAAGGCTATTTTTGATGATTGTGCAACTAATAATGCAGCAATGTTTTTTCAACCAAACCTTCTCACAAGGATGTAGACATTGTGTAATTACTGTGTGTTGTCACACCACACACAATGTGTTGTCTTTGCATATTTTCTGAGGACAGAACCTTTCCTTCTCCAAACAGTTGGAGACAACATACTAATCCTGTTAGAAAAGTCTGTGGGAAAAGTCATATTGATCAAACTAGAGTGAGTTTTAGCCCATAGAAAAACTATCAATCTTGCTTAAATTAAAACTAGAATTTATTACAAAATGTAATTGAATGTGTAAAACATAGTGCAGCAAATTACTGTATTTGACCACCTTTTGTTTACATTCCTGATATCCCTCATCTTAAATCCGGTTGTGTATTCAGAAACACTGTCATGTGTCAGTTTGTTTTACGAGAAATGATGACAGTGTTGAATGTTAAATAGTTTTATGTCACGGATGGCAACATGTCGAATGGTGTCCCACCTCTACTCAAAACTGCCTGGAGATAATTTGTCCTCCCTGAATCAACACAGTATGTCAGACAGGAATAATACACTTTACTCATCATGCAGCTGTCTCCTTGTGGGAGTGGTCCAAAGCCCTGTTTGCACTTGGATAAGCTTCTACTGAAAAGGTAATTGAGAACATATGATATAACTTTACTAATAACTGTTTGTTTCCAAGAAAAATATAAGACAAATGCCACATGCGTAAACAGTTGTGATGAGGCTGAATGTGCATGAGAAGTAAAAGATCAACCCTCCAGCTTGAAGTATGACTAAAGTTCTGAGTAATCTGTGCAAACATCTGTTGATGAGTAATCATAAACTGTTGTGGAGTAATATTGTCTCTAAAGGAGTTTCCAACTTTTAAATGTTGTGAACAAATGTACTGTCCCAACACTAACTTGCTGTTATGTGTTTGTCAGACAGTTGGAAAGTTTGCACCTTTGAAATGTCAAGTTTGATTGACTGTAATCAAGGATGTAGTCGGACAGTCAGCTGCATATCCTGTTATTTATGAATCAGATGCAATTTAGATAATTAAAACAAACATTTAAAAGTGTAACTAGAAGGTGCAGACCTCTATTTAGGTCATATCCTATCTGGTAAAGTTAATGAACGTGAACAACTAATTTGTTTATCCACCTCCGCCCTGTGATTTGGATCCACTCCAAAATGAATGGGTTTTTCCTCGGCCCATGTACGCATAACCTCCTTGGGGAAGGTAAATATAGGACATTGTTGGTTGACACTGCCCTACAGCTATTGTCTTTTTCATATTCAAATGACACTTTTCCTTTTACAAAAGTTGAAATATCACAGACTTCTTCTGAAAGTTTAGGTTTCAAAAAAACATTTGGTGAAAAAAGAATAATTAGTCTCTTTGGACATCTCATTGTGTCCTGTAACATATTCAGAAATATACAAATGAATGTATTACAATTCAGCTTCACCCTAATATCTCCGATGACCAATGTTCAATGTCAAATCAAATCTTGTTCATTTTACAACAGTTCTAGAAAGCATTCATCAATGAATCAATGAATCAATTGTTTTGTTAAATTTGAACACTCCCTTCATCTTAAACTAATATCAGAATTCTGCAGAATTCTGTAGTAATACCAGGTTAACATTACAGCATCTTGTCACAACATAGTAAAAAATAAAAATCTAAAACAGCATGAATGTATTTCATGGTTTTACAAAGCAAAGATTATGATTATTAGAAGAGCACCTTATATATTCGACGGGAGTGGAAGACTTTTGTTGCTGCCCTACATGCCAGGAGGCATTAAAGGGCTGAAGGACCTTACATATTGGATCATCTTATAAGGGAGAGCTGCACACCGCTACCTTGTAATCAAGCTTAATAAATCAAGTTTATTCAGTTCTCAAAGATTATATTGTGTGTATTCTTGAAACCTTACAAATTGAATGCATTTCCTTTCTTATGAAACTGTTTTGAAAGCAATCTTCAGAAACCGGTGCCCAGTAGTGTTAAGGCTAAGTCTGTCAGTAGAGCTGTAATACCTCACCTCTTACAACATGTTATTAATATTTGTCGAGGACATCATGGTTTTTTCTTCCCTGTAACATTACAGAATCTGACATGCCCCCGATTTGTTATTAAACACCTGCTTCAATGTTTCTTGAGGATGATTCTGAGAAGTAGACTAACTGATAAAGATTGTTTCCCCAAAATCAGTGTAGTTACGTTAGACCTTCAAACATGTTTAGACTGATGCTGTCTCTAAATTAAAATCACAAGGTTATGTTTTTGACTTCATCCAATATTGCAAAACTGCTTTTATAAATTTTCCCCAAAAGTATTGCAATAAACAATATTATTGTCATTTTAAGACCATTTAAGGACACCGATGTATAATAATATAATAGCATAATAATGCAAGTACACCTTTTCAAAATCAATGAACTTCTTAAGAATAGTCAGACTATTGAATTGGAATGAGAATTTTTTCTCAAATAAATAAAATATGAATAAAATAAAACCATACAACCAAAACAATACATAAATGTTCTCTCAGGGTCTGTTAATAAAGATTGCAGTAATTATTTAACAAAGGGGTATAGAGAATCATATCATGATCATTATGATTAGTTGTTATTATATCATTATAAAGTGCAGTGTAATGTTTACTGAAAATTAAGTTGTATCATTTTTCAGTTTACACTGGGACTAGGCTGTAGTCATACAGTACCTGTCCATCCCGTGCGGTGTTGTGTGCGCAAGCATATCTCAACTGTCACTTGGTGTGGCACGGTTGGACAATAATACAACAATAAAAAAACACATCTATTTCCTGTTCAACAATATCAGAACACAGTTCTCATAATAAGGTATCATGGCTGCTAAGTTCTAATCACTTAATTAAAAAGTTAAATTTGAATGAAATCTGTCACAGCATGGCATTCTCATCTCTGATGTTGATTTATTACAAATTTCATCCAGAATAAACTACTTATTAAAGAACATGTTTAATATAATAAAAGGAGCACACTGTCAACAAAACAGTTTTTATTGCAGCCCATTCCTCTAGGAATAAAAATTCATAATCAATGTGCATATTTGTTCAATCAAGCGATGAGGATGTGGAATGATTATATTGGACTTGTGAAAGGCGTCACACATCCATTCAGCACATGTTTCCCATGTCTTGGCAATAAAACTTAAGTTCAAACTAAGACAGAAGACGTGAGCAAAAAAAAAAGTGCGCTCTCAATATAAGGGGCTCTCAAGTGCAGTAAAACTATTACCTTCTTTGGTGAAAGCAAGCCAACAGTGGGAACAATGAGGTGGAGATGCATGTGGTTGTGTTTCCTTGCTCTGTCTGTTGCCAGTGTCATCGATGTCCAAGCCAGACTGGGTAAAACTCTGATTGTTTTAAATACTAAGTGGATGGATCGTTCAGCTTTATACTAACTCATGAAAAATGTATTGTCTCCAATATCAGTCATGTAGAACATTTAGTAACTCAAACTGTTTTCTAAACTTAAAAATCTTCTTCAGTTCGCAACCATGTCAGCAGCATCTGCAGCACATGGGGCAGAGATCACTTCAAGACGTTTGACGGCGATGTGTACCAGTTCCCAGGAATGTGTGAGTACAACCTGGTCTCCGATTGCCACGAGTCCTACCAGGAGTTCTCTGTGCACATGAAGAGGAAAGACAACGATGGAAACCCTACAGTCAGTCACGTGGTGGTCACCATCAATGACCTTTTGTTCTACCTCACCAAGGACATGATCACTGTGAATGACGTCCCGTAAGTAAAACACAATACAGCTGTGAAAACAACTGTGCTTCTCTATTCTATGGCATGTACACATTATAGTTAAGAAAAAAATCTCCTTTTTTCCCAGTGTCAAAACGCCATACTACAATGGAGGGGTACAATTGGAAAATAATGGTGTTTACATCAAGCTCCAATCCAAAGTTGGCATCACTGTCACGTGGAACAGTGACGATGCAGTCATGGTATGATATACCAGGCAGACATATATCTACATAGCTCTCCTCAAAGTAGCTTGTATGGAGCTACTTAATAGATCTAAAGGAGTCTATTGTAACATATGAACAATTCAGTTAAGACTCCTTTATGATGATTCTTTTGAATCTGTGGTTAGATAACTTTTTTCTTTTAATCAAGATGAACAGACCGACCTCCCAGAAATACAATCATGTTAACTATTTTTCTTACGGATCTTATTTGAATGAATTCCTATGATTCTTGGGAATACATTAATTACAGTGACTTGTCTTTCAGTGAATTTTCTTTCTTTATTGAGTTATACTTGACAACACAAGAAATACAGTCGTGGTAATGAAATGATATCAATTATCAAATCACAATCATAATATGTATCCTATTCATGTTATATTCTGAGGCAATTACACTTCACTGGTGTTTTGTTTACTTTATTTTAAGTATTATTTGAATTGTGAAAAAACTTGACATAACCTCTTGCTATGTTGTAGGTGGAACTGGATGCTGATTATGCGAATCGTACATGTGGACTTTGTGGAGACTTCAATGGTGTTGCTGTCCATGATGAGTTCATTCATGATGGTATATATGGTTATTCACTCTATGTGTTAATGCATTTCTACAACCATCCGCTGTATCTTTGATATTTGACATTGTAATAACAATTAAATACAGGTCGCAAAATCAGCCCCATTGAGTTTGGAAACAAACAGAAAGTCCATCGTCCAAACGGTGATTGCGAGGACCCCTCTGAGGAGGAAGATGAATCACTGGAGGCGGTGCTGGATTCATGCAAGGAGTTTGTGAGTTCATTATCCACCTAGTTTTAGCAATAGTGATATTTAGTTATATACTCAGTTAGCATTTGCAGAGTAACTTTTTCTTCTTTTTCTTTTTTAGCAAACCACCTGTAACCAGATGCTGCGTTCAGAGCACTGGAGCTCCTGCACCAAACTGATTAACCCTGAACCTTACATCCAGGCCTGTGTGCAGGACATGTGTGGCTGTGCCAACAGTACAAATGACTTTTGTGTCTGCAGCACACTGTCTGAGTTCTCTCGACAGTGTTCACACGCAGGAGGGCAGCCTCCTAACTGGAGGACACCTCAGTTCTGTGGTACGTTCTCCTCTCTTTTTTTTTTACAATCTTTACATTTCATACGGTACAGGATGGAGAGACTACTAAAGCACTGAAAATAGCTCAGTGAAAAGCAACTCATCATAATTGTCCTTTGAAGATAAGGTACTGTGTTTCTATCTGAACATGATAACATTTTCTCATGCTGCTCTGGCATGAGAAAATGTATTGTATTCTATACAGGAAAAAAATCAGAAAAGAAAGGCCAGATATGTCTACTTTTCTGGCTGACTTCAGTAGTAATTGACGTGATTTAAAATGTAGCAAAAACACATTAATGCTGTTAAAACAGTGTAAGTACAAGTAAAATAAGTACACAAAAAACATTTTGTTACCCTCAATGTATTTCAATTGTACCATATTTTCACAGCTAAACAGTGCCCACACAACATGATTTATGAAGAGAGCGGTTCCCCTTGCATGGATACATGTGCACTTCTAGACACAAGTTCACTGTGTGAGGACCACAAAATCGACGGCTGCTTCTGTCCTCCTGGTCAGTGCCTTTCACACGCTTCATTCTTTCAGATTTGAATTTCATAGTCTGTGAATGTTCATGTTCATGTCACTTGTGTCTTCTTCAGGAACTGTGTTTGATGATATTTCCATGAGAGGGTGTATCGCTCAATCTGAATGTCAGTGCAAACACAACAAGATCTATAACTCTGGTGAGGTCTACCGACAGGACAGTGAGGAATGGTATGTAAAATATGTCATCTACATAACATTTCATGTGGTTGCCTTAATTGTTTGTTTTTTTATTGTTACCTTAAATTGTTTGGCTTCTCTCAGTACATGTGTTGAGGGCAGATGGGCTTGTGAGAGCCTTCAAACACCTGCTACATGTGCAGTTGAAGAGGGTTCACACGTAACTACCTTTGATGGGAAAACCTACACCTTCCATGGAGACTGTTACTACACTCTAGCCAAAGTGGAAAGCAAGGTGAATGAGCCATAGCTTTGTCCGATTAAATGACAGAAAATATACCGTGTAATGGATCTGATGTAAAAAAAAATATATATATATTTAATTGCGCTCACTCTGTATATTTCAGGATCATGCAAGTCCGAAGTTTACCATCCTGGTTCAGTTGGTTCCTTGTGCAAATCAAGAATTTGACACTTGTATTAAGAGCCTTAAAATCCTGCTGAACAATGACAGACACAATGTGAGTTAAAGTCTGTCAGGAAAGAAGGCTGTAGTCATTTATAGATTCACACTGATATCTGCCACTACAACTCAAATGATTGATTCTGTTTTAATTCAGGTATTAATGTTCACTTCTGATGGCACAGTCAAGCAGAACATGCAGACCATCAGTTTGCCGTACCACTCAGGTGGGTCAGACAATGGGAAACTCACCAAAAAACATGAAACATGATTTTGTCATCTGTCATTCATGCAATGGCATCAATGATCTGACCGTTTTTGTATTTATCTTTATCCAAAGGTGACATCAACATATTCCATGCTTCATCCTTTCACATCTTGCTCCAGACCAGTTATGGGTTGCAAATTCAGATCCAGCATGTGCCTGTTATGCAAGTCTATGTCAGCCTGGAACAAAGCTACAGAGCAAAGACACGTGGTAAGTTTTACATTTGTTTTACCTTAAAGCATTGGCATCATTTAATCGTTTTTATTCACTACTGTAATTACAAAAGAGAAATTCAATATCCATGGCTGTTACTGTCATTGTCTTCCCAACACCCTGAATCCCTCCAAATAAACAAACCAAAACAATACACATGAAATGTGAAAATACATGAGAAAATGCAATCGGTGGTTTGGCTTCAAATATACACCCCTTGTATCTCCTCTTCTCTCTCTACATAAATACAACTGTGGAATCTTAATTATAACACAACACGGCAAACCCTCAATTCTCATTGTATGATATTTCTTTGTTTTATCTCATTTCATTTTAATTCAAATAAATGAACTGAATTCCTAGTTGAGTCATCATATCATTATATTCATTGACACTTTCCATTTTCCTACTTTACTAATACTAGTATAAGATACAATTCTACTTTAATTCTAAAATATTTTGTTTCTTCAGGTTTATGTGGGAACTACAACATGGTCCTGTCTGATGACATGAAGACTCCTCAGGGGATTGTGGAGGGAACAGCAGTAACGTTTAGTAACTCCTGGAAGGCTAACCTCATGTGCCGAGACAGAGAGGAAAGACTTGAGGACCCCTGTTCCCTCAGTGTGGAAAACGGTACAAAGCACTGCTTGATTATTATTCAACTGGTTTCTTTTTCGTCTGTTTATATATCTTAGATGGATTCTCAGCTTTCAACACTTACTCCTAGTCGGAATTTAGACATTTAACATAAAAAGTTATTGTTTTTCCAGAGTTTTATGCTAAACACTGGTGCGCCTTACTACTGAGTCCAGACAGCGATTTTGCGCAGTGCCGTTCAGTGGTGGATCCTGAGATGTATTACAAGGTAATGCAAAACCTTTCTGTTGGTCTTTCACTGAATTACATTTTGATATCTACTTTAGTTCTCTAAAAGTGTTTGCTATCTTCTGCAGCGATGTACTTATGCTAGCTGTAACTGTGAGAAGAGTGAGGACTGCTTGTGTGCCGTCTTTTCGTCCTACGCTCGGGCTTGTGCATCAAAGGGAGTGTTCTTGACAGACTGGAGAGAGAATGTGTGCGGTAAGGATTTCTTTCATGATTTTGTGTTAAAGTTGATTGTTGAAATCTGGAGTTTGATGAATATCTTCCCTTTCATTAGTTAGTCATACAACTATTAAGTAACCACTGTAACCATCCTCCCATTGTGCACAAAACAGATAAATACACAAGGAGCTGCCCAGCATCTCAGATCTTCTCTTACAAGCATCAGAGATGCCAGTTGACTTGCAGATCACTGGGCACAATGCAGCAAAGTTGCACATCTGACTTCTTGCCTGTCGATGGCTGCTCCTGCTCTGAGGGTCTCTACCTAAATGAAAATGGCATCTGCGTTCCCATGGCAAAATGTCCCTGCTACCATAATGAAGTCTACGTCAAGTCAGGAAAGTCCATCAGCATCAAAGAGGAGCACTGGTGAGTCAGTTGCTTAAATGATCCTAGGATTTCACATGATTGTAATGACGGCAGTATTTAAGATAACTACATTGTTAGTTTTTGAGTGCTTTTTTGTTGCATTTCATCTTATATTTTTGGTGTCTTTTTCCAGTGTGTGTACCAATGGAATGCTTCATTGCCATTCTTGGAGAGCCCGCTCATCAAGTATGGTTTTTTTTGTTTTCTTACTATAATACAAGAACTTGGTACTGATTCTGTACTTGTTGATAACTAATGTGTTTATTAAATTAGTTTCTACTTCTGTTACAGCATGCCCTTCTCAAAAAGTGTTCTTCAACTGCTCCACCGCGGGCACGGAAGAGCTGGGACTGCACTGTGCTGGAACTTGTTTAAATCTGGACAGCGATGATTGTGTGAGTGCTAAGTCTTAAATATCTGGATCTGTCTATTTCCTGATTTTAATGGTGGACAGTGTTTTACATGGAAGATGTAACACACTGTGTATAATTACACTCGTTTCTACAGCAGTAATGTTTTCTCATTTTCAATCACTGTGATCTTTCTAATTTCCCAGGACTCCACACAATGTGAATCTGGCTGTCGGTGTCCAGGTGGCCTCCTTGATGATGGCAAAGGTTCCTGTGTGAAAGAAAATGAATGTCCATGTCAACACGATGGGCATATTTATGCCTCTGGATCACAAATCCCTGACCAGTGCAATATCTGGTATGACCTTAATCAGATGTATAATATTGCATAAATGTGATCATATTTTCTTCTATTTTGTACTGGATTGTATATTCAAAACGCTGTATTATATTTAACCATTTCTGATCTAGTACCTGCAAAAGTGGAAGATGGGAGTGCAGTGAGAAAAAATGTCCAGGAACTTGCACTATTTATGGGAGTGGTCACTACAATACATTTGATCAGCGAACATATGGGTTTCAAGGACATTGTGCCTATGTTGCTGTAAAGGTAAACAAAGAATGTCAAAATCTTCCAAAAGACAGGCTGTGTCTGAAATCACTCCCTTCCTCACTCATTCATAATGCCTATATAATGGACACTCAATAGCGAGCAGTGAATTGGGATTTCGTACACGTATCTTTATTTTGCATTGTCAATGAAAGCTGTTGAGTTATTCAACTGCAATTTTCCTATTCAGAATTCGGACACTCAAAGTAAATGTAGTGCACTATTTAGTAATTAGGAAGTGACTTCAGACAAGCTGAGCTTAATTTATACTGTTGTAGGGTTTCATCTGTGAAAGTCACAGAATTTGGAAATTGTAACTTATTGCTATTCTTGAACATCAAAGTTGAAAGACAATAGTTGGTGTGTTTACCTACATTCATTTTAGGATGATTGCTTGTCATAATAAAAAATATAAATGAACAATGCAGATAACTACATAATCTCCCTCTCCTGGGGATCAATTACACTTTCATTTAATGTTCTAGCTTTTCTTTAATTATCTTAAAGCATTGTGGACTAGTAAAAGCCAAGCTGAAGTTGGATTTGATCACAGGTCTCTGTTTACTATAAAGGAAACAAGCTAAAATGTTTAACAAATCTCTCTCTTTTAAGAACAAATGTGGCAATAAAACAGTACAGGACAACTTCGGAGTTATCACAGAAAACGTACCATGTGGATCTACAGGCACCACTTGCTCCAAAACTGTCAGAATCCAGCTGGGGGTAAGACCTCATACCAACACCTGATATGCATTATGTGCCTAAAATATTCAACATATTCAAATAAATTATGTCATATATCAAACTGCTGTTTTTACATTACAATGAAAGCAACAAAATATCTCTTTTACATTACAGCGAATGGAAGTCAAACTGTCAAAGGGTAAATATGAAGAGGCCGACCTGGGACATGGTGCTGAGATTCAGTACAAGATAAGGAAGGTTGGCTTGTATGTGGTGATAGAATCTGCCATTGGTCTGGTAGTGATGTGGGATGGCAAAACAACTGTTCGCATCATGCTGGAACCACAGCACAACGTAAGTTACAGTAATTATTTAAATGATGATGACTTAAATCTGTTGAAGGACGAGTTTGGAGCTAGAGTTTTGATATGATGTAGCCTACCATTTTTTTGTCATCTGCGGTCGAGCTGTCTTTGCGGATCATTTTCTCACACCACTTATAAAGCTTTGGTACGCCAATGGTATTGATGTAAAGTATATAATTATTGCTGAAAAAGTCGTTATTACTGTACAATATACAATACTCAAAACAAATTAAGTAAAAACTCTGTCCGTCAAAATAAAGCAAGTATATTCATGCATGGAAAATATGTGTTTATTGTAATGCCAAAGAGTATTAATATGGAATATTATCTTTATGTGAAAAAAGTCATTGACTCCTTTTGTTTGGCTGTACAGGGAAAGGTATGTGGCCTGTGTGGAGATTTTAATGGTGATGGACAGAACGACTTCACCACCCAGGGTCAGCTGGCAGTGAGCAATTTGTTAGAATTTGCAAACAGCTGGAAAGTGTCAAGCCAGTGTCCAGATGTAGATATGAATGCTGACCCTTGTGAAATACGACCCAATCGACATCACTGGGCAAAAATGATGTGCAGCATTATAACTGGAAATACGTTCAAAGAGTGCCACAAAAAGGTAATAACACATTTGTTTCTAATTTATCATTATTTAAAGTTTGATAGTTGAAAACAACAAACACATTTTTAAAAATCTATTATATATTTTGATAACTGAACAGGTAGCTCCTCTCCCATATTATGAAAACTGTGTGAAAGACTCGTGTGCCTGCGACACTGGAGGAGACTGCGAGTGTTTCTGCTCAGCAGTTGCAGCTTATGCTCAAGCTTGTAATGAGGCTTCTGTCTGTGTGGCATGGAGAACACCAGATATCTGTCGTAAGTTAGATTTTTTTTCAGCCTTTTCTGCCGCTTAGAACCTGTTTTTAGATCCCAAAAGTTCTCATGACCCCAGCATTTAGAGATGTAGAGATTTGTGATGTTTATATACAAGTATGGTTTGATGTTATTTTCATAATAGACAGGGCATCTAATATTTTATTATATATTTAATGTGTCAATGGACACCAAATTGAAATAGGCATCAGTGCATTCTGAGAGTGAGTGATAACATCCTAACTATAAATACATAAAACTAAATGCAGGGGCAACCCGTTAGCCGAGTAATTTCCTGTATCCTGTGCATAAAGTTCGAGGTCTCTTTCAATGTATGACACATCAACATTTCCTTTATATACAACATAACATACGTTGTACTTTTTTTCTTTCTAGCTGTCTTTTGTGATTACTACAATAATCCTGATGAATGCAAGTGGCACTACAACCCCTGCCACAAACCTTGCTACAAGACCTGTTTAAATCCAGAAGAAATTTGTAGCAAACCTTTACCCAACCTGGAAGGTAAGAGGTTAACTCACAAAGTCTCACCTTACCTCTGTTTAATATGCTAGTTAAAATCTTAAATGGTAAACGGATCCAATTTGGCATATTTTATGTGGCAAAATGAGAAGAGACCCAAGACCACCTACCCAGCTTCTGTTTCCAAGAGTTAAAAATAATAATAATAATAATACATTTTGTTTGATGTTGTGATTTGTACAGGCTGTTACCCTGTATGCCCAGAAGATAAGCCCATATTTGATGAGGAGACGGGATTTTGTGTGGAGGAATGTTCAGGTTGCTTTTACAACAATACTAGATACGAGGAAGATGAAGTTATTTACAATGTGACTGACAATTTAGGAATGTGCTATTACGCAATATGCAAAAATACGACAGTGATATTTGAAAATGAAACTTGCCCTACAATTCCACCAACTGAAGCAACTACCACAACCAAAGAGCCAACCACAACCACAAAATCTACAATCCCACCAACTGAACCAACAACTACAACCCAAGAGACAACCATAACATCTACAACCCCACCAACTGAACCTACCACTACAACCCAAGAGACAACCACAACCA